TGTAATACTATTACCCAAAAACAGTGAGGGAAACCCACCTGTTACTGTAGTACAGCTCATTGTTAAGATTTGGCTGCCACAGTTTATTAAGGAGATGGAGAAATGTGTGAGGTTCGGAGATGAATGCCAATGCTAATTAAAGGAGTGGAAAATGGGTCCCACGAGGAAAGGTGGTACAATTCAGGCAGAAGGCCAAGAGACACTTGATTATCAATTTCATGTGAATACACAATTGTTATGACATGATTTCTTTATGTCCTCCAACACTAAGCATGAAGAAATTAAATCAGAACTTGAAAATTGTTGATTAGTCATGAAGAAAAATATTATAAGTAGATTTAAAAATGCAAATCTGAGCATATTAGTCCCCTAGTTGGAAAAAAAAATGTAATTGACTTTTCATTGTCTCTTTGGGGAAAAGCCTATACATTCTTTTTTCTTAAGTAAAGGATATAATTTATTAGTTGCTTGATTTTTTTTTTTTTTTTTTTTGACAGGCAGAGTGGACAGTGAGAGAGAGAGACAGAGAGAAAGGTCTTCCTTTGCCGTTGGTTCACCCTCCAATGGCCGCCGCGGCCGGCGCGCTGCGGCCAGCGCACCGCGCTGATCCGATGGCAGGAGCCAGGATCCAGGTGCTTTTCCTGGTCTCCCATGGGGTGCAGGGCCCAAGCACCTGGGCCATCCTCCACTGCACTCCCTGGCCACAGCAGAGAGCTGGCCTGGAAGAGGGGCAACCGGGACAGAATCCGGCGCCCCAACCGGGACTAGAACCCGGTGTGCCGGCGCCGCTAGGCGGAGGATTAGCCTACTGAGCCACGGCGCCGGCCTAGTTGCTTGATTTTTGATAAAGGCTTTGGTGGTTTTTTTTTCCAGGCAGATGACATAATGCAATGGTTTAGAAGTCTTCATTGGAAAACGAGTTATAAATGACGTAGAAATCATATGTGCTGTATCAAAAAATAGATGATAAACATGAAGAAGAGGAGACAGCAAATTCAGAGTCAGATTTGTTTGTGCTATCATTCGAATACTCTCCTTCTGTTATGTTGAGGCATAGCTTGAATCCCAGTCTACTCCTTCTGTTATGTTGAGGCATAGCTTGAATCCCAAACAGTCTACAGAGCAGTAATCCTCATCTGGAGAAACTTATTGTATGATAGTGTTATGTCTTCTGAACCAGTCAGTATTAAATAAACCTCCAGTGATGTGTGTTAAGCTAAAATAAATGTTTAATAAGATGGATATAAAAACTTTTTTAAAGATTTCCTCTCTCTACCATTTTGAGGAGAATTTAAAAATTTTTAAATCTATAATAATTTAAGATTTGTAGAAAAGCTGCAAGAATAATACAAAGACCACCTTATCTTAGTCTGCTCAGGCTACCATAGCAAATGCCATAGATTAAGTATCTTAATAGAAATTGATGTTCTCATGATGCTGGAGACTGGGAAGTCCAAGACCGAGGTCCCGGCAGGATTTTTTTTTTTTTAAGATTTATTTATTTATTTATTTATTTGAAAGTCAGAGTTACACACAGAGAGAAGGAGAGGCAGAAAGAGAGTGCTGGGTCACTCCCCAATTGGCCACAATGGCCGGAGCTGTGCCGATCCAAAGCTAGAAGCCAGCAGCTTCTTCTGGGTCTCCCATGTCCCTGTAGGTTTTAATTTCAGCTGGTGAGGACTGCTTTCCTAGCTTATGCATGGCTTGTGAATGGTCCTCACCTGGCCAGGACAGAGTGGGGGAGTGGAGGAAGGTACAAGATAATGATCCTGTGGTGTCGGAGTCCTACCCTCATGACCTCATTTCACCTAATGTTCTCTTCTTAACTGCAAATATCCAAATATAATCAATTAGGAGTTAGAGTTTCAACACATGAATTTGGGGGGAGGGAGATACAATCTGGGCCATAGCAGATCCTTTGCCCAGATTTAGCTGTTAACCTTTTATCCCGTTTATCTCCCCAAAACTGGCCCCCTGCTCATACCTGTCCATGTGCAAATATATAATTTTTGTTCTACCCACATGAGAATAAGGATGATCTCTGATATCACTATGGTTCAACTTAAAGTTTTCTGAGTTTACAACAGTTCATAAGGGATGTGCATTTAGTAGAAGCTATATATTGAATTTTGATCTTCTCCCAGGCTTGCTCCGTGCAGAGTGATGCTCTCGATGCTGGGCTGAATATTGTGTTTTATGTTTTTGCATCCTCTCCTGTCTACAGCATGCTCATCTGTGTGTGTGTATGTAGAAGACACCCAGCACTTTATTATAAATAGGACTTGCATTAGACGATCTCACACAACTGTTGGCTAACCTAAGTATTCCAAGCATATATGAGGTAGGCTAGGTTAAGTAATGATATTCAGTAGGTTGGGTGTAGTCAGTGGATTTCCAAGTCATCCTTTCAATTTCTGATGAGTTTATGGGTTTCTAACCCCATTGAAAGTCAAGGAGTAAATTGCATGTATCACACAACTTAAATTGCATGTATCATGATCCTTCACCTATAAATCCTTTGAGGTGATTTTGCAAGAATAAGACCATGCTTACTGAACCATAGTGTAGGCATCAACTTCGGTAAATTTAACACATTCATATTCCAGTTGTTTTCATGGACCTTTGTAGCATTTTCTTTTCCTCTAGTACAGGATCTAGTTAAAGACTGTGTTTTAATTTTATTATTATTTGTAACATTTTATTATTTTTTTGAGAAAAAGAAAAAGGAAAGAGAGTTCCAATATACTAGTTTACTCCTCAAATACCCATGACGGTGGGGGCAGAGCCAGTTTGAAGCCTGAAGCCCAGAACTCAGTCCAGGTCTCCCATATGGGTGGCAGCGACCTAAGTACTTGAGCCATCACTGCTGCCTCCCAGGGTGGGCATTCGCAGGAAGCTGGAGTCGGGGGCTGGAGCCAGGTATTGAACTCGGGCACTCTGAGATGGGGTGTGGACATCACACTCAGTGTCTTAACAACTCAATCAAACATCTGCCTCCAAAGCCTGTGGGTTTTGCTCAGCTCCCTTCAGCCCCTCTGCCTTTGTTTCTGCCCCTTGCAGTGCCAAAACCACGTTTGCTTACAGAAAACCTCTTTTTCTTTTTCTTTCAATGCTCAGTCGTTTCTGAAGACTTTCCTGATTGCCCTCTTGAGCCCAGATGGAATCGCCCCACCTGAAAGCCAAGGGTGCTTTCTCCTTATCCCTTTCCCTACATCCCGTATCCTAAGCGTGTTTGAAATATTGTTTGTATTCATGAGCACGTAACCTCCCACCCCTCATCCCCTGCCACGAGATTCTTCTTTGACAGAAGAGACCCTGTTTTATTGGACTTTATATCCCCAGAGCTAAACATCAGCTCTGTTACACAGCAAGTGCTTTATAAATATTTATTAATCATCAGTGGAATACATGACTGTAAAGAGCTGCCAAGGAGGTCACAGGGAGTCAGATCCTGAAGAGTTTCAAGAGGAAGGAAAACGCCCCTGTGATCAGGGGCCTTCGAGTGATTCCAGGAGAAAGGGGAGTGAGTGGGGCAGTGGGCGGAGCTTGCTCTCTGTAAGGCTTCCGCTATATGATAGAGTGGTGAAATCAGGCATGACCTTTGTATTTCATAAGGTTCTCATGCTCACACACAGCCTTCAGAAGAACACAGCCTAGATGTAGCTTTTTTTTAATTGAAAAATTTATTTCGTTATTTATTTTTATTTATTTGTTTGAAAGGCACAGAGAGACAGAGGTCTTCCATTCACTGGTTCACTCTAAATTTTATGCCCTCAACAGCCAGGGCTAGATCTAGCTGAATCTAGGAGTGTGCAGCTCAATCTTGGTGAGTGGTAGGGATGTAGAATATCACATCCTTCTAATCATTAATTTCTGATTTTTTGAGTCTTCAGATTATTACTCTGAAAGCCATATTTTTAGAAAGTATGCTGTGTTCTTATTTAAGAAATTGTTTTGATGTTTGCATTATTAATGTGATCACTTATTGTTTGAGAGAAGAAAACTGAATGCTTCTTAATCATATAACAGAAAAAAATGACTTATTAGAAAAACCATATAACTGGATGACTTTAAAAGGGACCCACCCTGTAGTAGGCCTTGTTCTTGTTGAGCTTTTGAACGTCTCAAAGTAAACATAATAGTGTTGATGCTTACCCATAAATTGTTCATGGAACCCATGTTAAGTTTTCTGTCAGGGGAACTGTAACATTAGCATTTATTCACTTTTGCATTTTACATTGTTAATCATAACTGCAATGCCCAGTATACAGTATATTTAGAACGGATTCTCATAACTCAGCAATTTTCGTCAACCACAGCTCCCATGCCTAGAATAGTTAGTCAGCAGAAAAGCATTGAATTAAACTGATTTGTTTCTGAGTCAGTGACAAATTTATTTTCCAAACATAGTATCTCTAGCTTTATTTTTAAAAAGAACTAGAAAAGAACATTTTTAAAAAGATATTTATTTTTTTTGAAAGGCAGAGTGACAAAGAGAAAGAGACACTTCAGTCCATTAGTTCACACCCTAAATGGCTGCAACAGCCAGGACCAGGCCATGTCGAAGCCAAGAGCCTGGAACCCCAACCAAGTCTCCCATTTTCTGCTGCTTTACCAGGCACATGGGCAGGGAGCTAGATCAGAAGTGGAGCAGCTGGGACTTGAACCAGCATTCATGTGGGATGCTGACCTGTAGGTAGTGGCTTAGACCACTGTGCCACAGTGTTGGCCCTGAAAAGAGCATTATTTAGACCAGGGGTTGACAAACTTTCTGTAAAGGGCTGTATAGTATATACTTTAGACTTTCAAAGTCACTCAGTGTCACAAATACTCAACCCTGATGGCATAGACAATAATGCAAGTGCATGGTCATGCTTCTGTCCCAACAAAACTTTATTTACAGGAAGAAGTGGTGGGCTGGGCCTCCTGATTTAGACTATCGAAACATACAAGTTCAAAATGTACATTAGTATTTATCCTTGTCTCATTTTTCTCTACAGGTAGAAGACTGATCTTTGAAAATATGTATTTGGGAGATAGTCACGTTCTGTTGACTACGTTGTGCTGGTGCTGCCATCGAAAAATCTGGTTACACTCTGGGGAGGCCTGCTACCACTGCAGGACTGAACCGCCGCAGCCCTGAGATGAGCATCTGGCCTGAGTGTGCACACCATGAATAGATACACAATGATCAAGCAGCTTGGGGATGGGACCTATGGTTCCGTCCTATTGGGAAGAAGCATTGAGTCTGGGGAACTTATTGCTATCAAAAAGTGAGTCTTATCCTCCACTTTCATGAATTCATCTTCCACTATATGTTGTCAAGATATTTTTTACTTCACTCTCTCCGTTATCCATCTTTGAAATATTTCTAAAGGGGAGTGAGTGGGGGGTGTGGAGAAAAACCTTAGCTAATCGGATCTGTGGCTGGAATGCTCGTGTTGGAGGTCATAAAACATTCCTGCTTTAGACTTGCCACTGTGCATGTAGCACTAGTTTTTAAAGTGTTTTCTTCTGTTGTGAGGTGGAGTTGAGTAAGTTAAACATCATTTTACAGGAGAGGAAACTGAAACTCTGAGAAATGAAGTGGCTTAATTGGGGTCATTTTTCAAGTGGTGGTCTTGTGACTGCTGTCCTGGACGCTGGCTTCACTTTGGTCATTGCAGCCTGAGTCCAGACCCATTGTATTAGTTAATTGTTACTGCATCAGAATTCCTTCCAAGACGCAGTGGTTCAAAATAGCACACACTTACTATCTCTCAGTTTCTATGGATCAGGAGCCTGGGCACAGCTTAGCTGAATTCTGTGCTTCAGGGTCTCCCATGAAGCTGCATTCAATGTGTTAGCTAGCACAGGGGTTTCATCTAAAGACTGGACTGGGGAAGGGCCCATTTTTTTTTTTTTTTTTTTTAACTAAGTCACTCAATTGTGGCCAGCATTCAGTACCTTGAGGTTTGTTGAACCAAGGGCCTCAATTGCCTACTGGCTATTGGCTAGAGGCAGCTCACTACATGGCAGCTATCCTCATCAAGGCATGGGAGTCAAGAAAATATGAAGAGTCTTCCATAAAGATGGAAGTCATCATTTTGCTTTTGTAAGCTAGTCAGAGTAGTGACATCCTGCAGTTGTTGCTGTCTATCCGTTAGAAGTGGGCCACTGAAGAAGAGGAGGCTATTCAAGATTGTGAATGCCAGGTGGTGGGCATATTTGAAAACTGTGTTAGAGTCCGTCTACTGTATCCATCTATGCCCAATTGCCTTCTCAGCATCTCCAACCGGATGTCCTGCAAACATTTGCAAATTCATCATGTATGAACTGAACTCACATACTCAGCAAAGTCTGTCTTGTGCCAACTTGATTCTCCTTCAGTGTGCCCTATGTTGATAAATGACACTACCATCCCTTCAAAACCTGGGAGTCTTCCTTGCTTCCCCTACACTTGTGTCCCACCTTTGGTCATTGAGTTCTGTTAACTCTACTAAATATTTATCTAATCCTTCTACTTTTTTGTATTCCCATTGCTAACCTCCCATTCAACCAATTACCATTTACCACCTCAACTTAGTTCTCCATATGACTCTTGGCTTCCATTCTTTTCCCCTGTTAATATCAGACTGAAAGGGTTATCTTAAGCACATGAATCCAATCAACTAAAGCCATTAGTGTCAGACACTCTTTTTGCCCTGCTGGCCCATCACACCCCCTTGTCCCATCTGCCTTCTGTGCATCTGTAGTATACAGTGCTGTGCCTGCTGCCAGTGTCCCACCTCAGGTGTACCTGGAAGGCTGTTGACCAAGATACATTCTGCTCAGCTCCCTGAAAGTTCCTTAACGGGCCTGAGCCTCAGTTGCTCACCTGGACGTCAACTCAGTCAAGTGCCCTCTGTTGAGTTACGCATCTTTCTTTTCCCAGTTTTTCTGCTCTTTGCCCTGATTTCCTGGAATCACCAATACACAATCTATCTGTACTCAGGTCCTTGCTCAGGCTCTGCTTTTGGTGGAGTCCAAACTAAGCAGTGTCTTACTGTCAATTTTCCAAGTGTGACCTCCAAGTAGCTGAGTCATTTGGCCCCTGCCTGTTTTCTTCAACCTTGACTCCTATCCATACCTTCATGCCTCCCACCTAGCTAAATTCTATTCATCCCTCTCAGTTGAAAGATCACTCGTAGAGGGGTATTTCCCTGATATCCCAGAACAGTTAGGTCCCCTGGAGTCCTTTCTCATAGTGCCTTTTCTTTCCTTCATAGCATTTAGTACAGAAAATTATCGTCTGCCTCTTGCCACTGTGTCCGTTCCTTGAAGGATGACTTCCTCATCACTGTGTCCCTAGGGCTTGATGAAGCACCCACCCACATAGAGGGGGCTAAATAATTGTATTTGGAACATAAGCAACAGAATTGATTGCTCAACAAGAAAACAATGTGACAAGGACAGAGTGTCGCAGTAAGCTGGAGAGATGGAATTGAGTTTGTCGTTAGCCAGCAGTGAGACCGTGGAAGAATTGTGTACCTTCCCAGTTTCCTCCCCTGTCCCACTTGTTTCACAGGGCTGCTGAAAGACTCAGATCAGATGGTGTGATGGAAATGCACTGAAATTTGGATTTCTGGTTAGCTAATAAGGCTCTCTTTCTCTCCCCTCAGCCTCTAGACAAGGGGTTGGCAAACTTCTCCTGTAAAGGGCTAGACAGTAAATATTTTAGGCGTTGCAGGCCATATGGTTTCTGTTGTAACAACTCAGTTCTGCTATGTAGCGTGAAGGCAGCCACAGACAACACATAAATGAATGAGGGAGTCGTGGTTGTGTTCCAATAAAACATCAACTATGGAAATTGAAATTTGGATTTCAAATCACTTTTACATGTCACAGTATATTATCCTTCTTTTGTTATTCCCAACCATTTAAAAGTACACATGCTCTTCTTAGCTCACAGGCTGTATGAAAACCGATGGTGGGATGGATTTGACCCATGGGCTGTAATTTGCTGACCCCTGCCCTGGAAAGTCTATAACTGTGCTGTCCAAAATAGTAGTGAGTAACCATGTGTGTGTGGCATTAAAATTAAAATTTTCAATTAAAATTTAAAATTTCATTTTCTATGTTGCATTAATTATATTTCAAATGCTCAATATCGCACACGTCTTGTGGCTACCATACTAGACAACACTGAACATTTCTGCCAACACAGTCTGTTGGACAGCTCAGGCCTACATGGAGTCAGCCTGAGGAATTTCCCCCAGGGCAAGTCAGCTAATTAGTGGTAGAACAAGACAGCAGCCCAGGCCTCTTGTACTGTGCCATGCCACTGCTAATGGAAAGTGTATGACTTAGGATTGATTGCACTGCCAGACTTTAAAATAAATGCTGTTTTGGGTAATGCAGGTTGAGCAGCTCTAATCCAAAAATCTGAAATTTAAAATGCCCCTAACTGAGACTTTTTGAGCTCCTGTGTGGCCCCACAAAAGAAAATTCCACACCTAATCTCATGTGACAAATCAAAATGCAGGCACACTAAGAATATGTAAAATCTACCTCAGGCTATGTGTATAAGATATGTATGGAACACAGATGAATTTCATGTTTCGACTTGGATCCCATCACTAAAATATCTCATGATGTATATTGCAAATATACTAAAACCTGAAAAAATTCTGAAATCCTTCTGGTCCCAGACATTTTATATAAGTCCATCTTGCATATAAGTTTTCCCAACCTATATAATACTTGATAAAATTGAAACCAACTTTAAGCACTGTCCATTATATTCTGAAAAAAAAAAAAGTTTAGCTTATTACTGAGAATAAGCATGTTATTTGTTTCTTTCTTCTCTTTTAGAATGAAAAGAAAGTTTTATTCCTGGGAGGAATGTATGAACCTTCGGGAGGTCAAGGTATTTATTAATATACCATAGAATAATTTATATATGACTGATTAAAATATCTTAACATATGGTTAGGTTTCTAATTCATATTGTCATTCCACTTGAAATTTTTGACTAAAAGTCTTAAAAAATGGCAGTTGACAACATTATATGGCTTATGACTGCATGTAGGAGATTGCTATGTTATTATATTGTGAATATATTGTTATTAGAAAACTCTTTAATGGATCTCTTATGTTAATATATTTCAATATAAGCAAATTGAATATGTTGATTTAGTGAATTGTTATTACCTCTAAAGATGTCGTAATTATTAATATAAAGGAATATCTATTTGTTGAGTTTTTTTCCTAGATATAACAGAAGTGCTTATTTCAGTTTCTTGCTCTAATAATTTGCAGTCTGCTATTGGTAATAAATTTTTAAAAAGATTTATTTTTTTTTTAATTTTTTAAGGATTATTTTATTTATTTGAAAGTCAGAGTTACACAGAGAGAAGGAGAGGCAGAGAGAGAGGGAGGTCTTCCATTCCACTGGTTCACTCCCCAAATAGCTGCAATGTCCAGAGCTGAGCTGATCCGAAGCCAGGAGCTTCTTCCAGGTCTCCCACGTGGTGCAGGGGCCCAAGGACTTGGGCCATCTTCTACTGCTTTCCCAGGCCATAGCAGAGAGCTGGATGGGAAGTGGAGTGGCTGGGACTCAAATTGGTGCTGGGATGCTGGCACTTCAGGCTTCAGGTCAGGGCGTTAACCCGCTGTGCCATAGCGCCGACCCCCTACTTATTTATTTGAAAGGTAGAGTTACAAATGGAGAGAGATACAGAGAGAGACAGAGACCTTCCACCCTCTGGTTCACTTCCCTGATGGCTGCAATGGCTAGGACTAGGCCAAGCTAGAGCCAGGAGCTTCTTCAGGGTCTCTCGTGTGAGTGGCTGGGGCCCAAACACTTGAGCCATCTTCTGCTGCTTTTCCTAAGCCATTAGCAAGGAGCTGGATTTGAAGTGGAGCACCCAGGACATGAACTGGCACCCTCATAGGATGCCAGCGTTGCAGGCAGTAGCTTTACCCGCTACACTACAACTACACCACAAACTCCCTTGTGGTGGGAGTTTGTTGATAAAGCTAGAATAGAGCTCTGTTAGCATCACAAAGGACATAGCTTCACTTTTATTCAGCCCCTGATTGGAGCCATTCCATTTCTTTTCCCCTGCCCCCCTCTTCTCTGGATTCTTTCTCAATTCTGCTGCTGTCTCCTTCAGAGTAGATTGAGCACCTTTGTGTCATTCTCTTCCTTGCGCACTACAAGAGCGTCTCAGCAGCTCTCAGTGTCTTCATCAAGCCCTGCTTGGGACACCTAACAGAATACTGAAACCCTCCTTCCTTTTCCTCCAAGGGGACCCTGGGCATGGAAGAGGAGTTAAAAGTCTAGAGCAAGAATCTAAAACTTTTTCTATAAAGACCCAAGTAGTAAATCTTTTATGCTTCAGGGGCCAATAGGTCATAATAATGAGATTATTACATAAGTCCATACTCATAAAATTTTATTTGCAAAATGGAAAATATAATAGTGATCATTAAGTACAATTTTTATATTATATGTCTTCCAATGAGGAGAATGGCATTCTTTTGGGGAGCATTTAACTTAATTAGGACTCTGAGTATTCCCTATCATCAAACTGATTGCAAATATTCATCTCTAAAAGCTATTCTTAGATGAGGGATCATACATAAAACAGGTGGTGGGCTGGATTTCACCCATGGGTTACAGTTTGCTAATCTCTTATCTAGAAATAAATACTCTGGAAGATCCCAAAACAGCAGAGATTAAAAACAAAGGATGATTCAAGGTCATTGGCTCTGTGTGGTTCTGAGAGATATCCTTGACTTGGATGTTAAACCTTTTCTTTTCTGTACAACTAACAGTATTCATTCTCATAAAAGGAATATTACTCATATGCACAGCTGAGAAAAACTATCAGCACATGGTGTCTTGGGAAACAAGTGGCTGCCTGGGCAAGACAGTGGAAGGAACTGCTCCTCTAACTAATGGCCACGACACTTGCCAGTCGTCTTTCTTACCCATGCAGATGCTGCATCTGCTGCCTTCTGGGATTCTTCCATCTCTGCCTGCCCTTGTCGATCCTCTGACAAATTTACACAGCACTGGACCACAGCCAACCAGTGAATTCAGAGGGAAGTGGAAGGAAAAAGGGGCAGAAAGGAGGCACCTTGCTCAGCAAGGTTCCTTGTCCGATTTTGCTGCCTGCTGACTCAGAAGGGGAGGAGATGGGAAAGGATCACTGTCACCATCATTCCCTGTGCCCTGCCGTCTCCTATCTCAGCAGTGAAAGGAAACGGAGGGAAAGCCTGCACTTTGGAGTTGATTATGGCGCTGTCTTCTCACCTCCATGCCTGCCTGCCTGCCTGCCCGCCCGTGTCTTTCTCTGGAGAGCCTGTGCACTACAGGCAGACTCTGCATCTGACAGCAGCTGTGAGGAGGGGCATCCTTGCTCCTGTGATGTCATGGGGGGAATGGGACCTTGGGACAAATTTCTTTGAAGCTTGTTTTATTTGTTTTAAACTTTTTATTTAAAGAATACAAACTTCATGCATTTCCTAAGCACAACTTCAGGAATGTAGCGATTCTTCCCACCATACCTGTCCTCCCACTACTCCGCCTCCTCCTTCTCCCATTCCCAGTCCCATTCTCCACTAAAATCCATTTTTTACTAACTTTGTTCACAGAAGACCAACTCTATATTAAGTAAAGAGTTCAACACTTTGCACCAAAAAAAAAATCAACAACAAAAAAACTGTTACTCAACAGTCGAGACAAAGGCTATTCAAAGTCATTGCATCTTGAAGTTAATTTCACTCAACTTAATTGACTTTAAAGCTGCACCCAAGAATAATACATCTTTTGTGAGCACTTAGACATAATTATAATACATGAAGCACTGTTTTTTGTGACATGTTCTAGATGCCATTCTGAGGTACTAGGCTGCCTGTGTCCTGCCTACTCTTTTCACTGCTGTCTTTTTTTTTTTAACCATCTTAACTTCTATCCTTAGAGCCTTATTCCAACTATTGCCCTCCTCCTCATACCTTTAAACTCTTCCTTTCCACTGGCTCCCTCTCTTCAATCTATGAATGTGACTGCCAAACTAATCCAGAAACCTCTCAGCCCTCTCCCACATTGAGCTTTTTTCCTTTCGTTGCTTTCCCTACCAGACGTATTCCTCCAGCACCATTGTCTTCAACCTAATTGGATCAGACACCTCCCTCCGCAATTCTCGGGAAGCTGGCGGATTTGCCAGATGGGTGGCATCCACACAGGCTGTGCCCTGCCCACTTTTCCAGCCGCAGTCTTCCTCCTTCGGAGCCAGGCCTGGGCAGTTCTCCTCCTGCAGCCCCCAGACGACAGTCCGCCACTGCATCTCCGCACCTTGCCTTGGCGGGCTCGCCTCCTGGTGAAGCATTTCCTTCCCAGTGAATTTTTCTGGGTGTAACTCCTCCTTCCAGGCACATCTCGCGAGATGCCCTCACCACTCAATGTTTACTCCTGCTTGAAAAATCTCTGGTGTTTCTTGTTCCTGTGCTTCCTTTGACAGTTAACATAATAATATCTTTCTTCTTCTCTTCTGTACCTGTTGTATTCACTCACTATCTTTCTCTTAAGAGCAGGCACTGAGTCTTAGGTGCCAGGGTATCCTTGGGGCCCAGTGAGTTGTAGTTTTATTATTGTCGTGAGCCATACAATGACATTTTGGTCAACAAGGGATCGCACATACAGTGGTCTCAGAACACTGTAATGGAGCTGAAAAATTCCGATTGCCTATTTTTCCTGTACCTTCTCTGTGTACAAGTACATACATACTGTTGCTGTACTTTCTGACAGTATTCAGAATGCTGACATACTTACAGGTGTGTAGTCCAGGAGCTATAGGTTTAACCACATGGCCCAGGTGTATAGTATGCCACACGACCTAGGTTTGTGTAAGTAGGCTCTCTGATGTCCTTGCAGCCATGGAATCCCGAACAGCATATTTCTCAGATCTTATTCCTGTGGTTAAGTGACATTTCTCTGTGACTCAGGAATTTGATCAATCCCCGAGGTGGGCAGAACTGATAATATCCTTCTGCCACTTTCATCCGTGGGGTTAACCAGTTGCCACTTGGACCTCTGCTTATCTGCTGTGATACACTTGACCTGCCTTTCCCACTCCTTAGGGGACCTTCCCTGAGCCAAAATAAGATGCTTTCCTAGAAATGTATCTCTGTAAAGTGAGCCGCACTGAGTTCCCCACACAAAATGGATTCTTTTTGTATTAAATGAATATAGTCGTTAACTTGCTCATGAGATTCTCTTAGAAGCAAGAGCTGTGAGCCAGCCTTCGATTTGGGCCAGTAATTCGTGATGAAACACACTCAGGCTAAGAACCGAAGGTCCCCTACTTCTTGCCTGGAATCCTTTTCAAGAAAGGCTGCGGCCGACTTCATTTTTCTGAGTGCCTTTGCCTCCGGGCTGCTCACCGAGGGCTGTCTCAGCCATTGCTTTTGATGCATTTTAAGCAAACAGGCAGAAAAGATGGCTGCAACCAGTGAGAATCAGTGAATACTAACATGTTAGGCAATGTTTGTGCTTGTTACGCATGGAGAACCAGGAATCCAACCAACCAAAAGAAGTAATCAGCCCAGTTGTGTCATTCTAGAAGATTCTGGCCAAGGCTGCTGAGCATTTCCTGCCAGAAAAGTGTCCTGGCGGGAACTTGGTGTTCAGGGAGGAGGCTCCAGAGCAGCCTGATTTTGTTCTCAGTCACTACCATATTTTCTCTCTTCTCCCCCTGTTGCTTAAAGTCACTTGATCATGCTACATTCCCAAGCTCTGGCCATTAGGTACCGTATTACCGAGCATCCTTCTGATTTCAATGCCCATTTTAACACTTTCATCTTGCTGTATAAAAGGGATATTCTTTTTCAAGCAATTTAAAGATAAAGAAGGCTTTGCCACTTATATTGGACTCATTTCTCCATGAGAACAAAGCTTTTTAAATTAAAGGGTTTAAGGTGGTTGTTGTGGTGCAGTGAATTAAGCTGCTGCTTGGGACACGCACATCTTCATATCAGAGTGCTTAGGATTGAGCCGTACTTTCAGTTTTGATCCAGCCCCCGCTAGTGCACACCCCAGGAGACAGCAGATGGTGCCTGATGTACTTGGGTCTCTGTCATCCAGGTGAGAAACCTGGATGGAGTTCCTGGCTCTTGGCTTCTGCCTTGTCCAGCCCCAGCTGTTGTAGGTGTTTGGGGAGTGAACCGGTGGATAGAAGATCTCCATCTCTTTCTGTCTTGCTCTGCCTTTCAAATAAATAAAATAAAGATAAACGAATTAAACGGCTTAACTTACTTTCCAAAGGGATTGTTGAACACTTCCTTGAAGGAGAGACAGTCCATTAAATTGTGATAGTTTGGCAAACAGACCAACAGTTGAATATCTCTGTTTGTTGACCATAAGCAGGATTATTATTCACTAACACAAAAATGTTCCTCATTGAGAGAACTGATGATGCAAATAGAAACGAGTGCATGAGTGGCCGCACTCACATACTCCAGGAAGAGGGAGCCTCCTTAAGTGTGGGCGCGAGTGATCAGAAGGCAGGCTCTGTGTTCTCAGCCGCCCTCTGATTCCTGTCCATTGCCTGACTTTTCTGCCTTTGTTACCTTGGAGGCAGAGAGACTGCTCTCATCTACCTTCTGGGTCTTTCCAATGCAACGCTTCCTTTCCCTCCTCTGTAGTTAAAACTCATATTGTAAGAACGAGCATTCTGTGTCTTGGGGACACACATGAGTCAGACAAAAGCCCTGAGAATCAGGCAGTCAGGCTCAGTTTGTTTGAACAATTTTCCTATTCAAAGTGGATGGAAACTAGTGCTCTCAGCCCAGAGCAGCTGCGCTCTCCAGTGTTAGAAAAAAACCAGAGCCGCCTTCATTGGTTTCTCTCTGGCCACTTCCACAGGCTGAATTTTATCATCGGGAGGGAGTGGGCTTAAAATAGCCCTGGCATATTGCCTGATGCTGGGGATGGCCTCAAACGCCAGTTACTGGCCAAATGCTTATTTTTCTAGCCAGTTCATTAAAATAGTTTATTTTTTTAGATTAAGTTACTATTGATTTCAGAGAAATAATGTTTTAACAGTCAATAAAATAGAATGTATGGCATTTCCATAGTTCTAACATTGGGTGTTTCTTTCTAAATATACACAGGATTACTTTTCTTTTTCAGCAGCAGCTTTTCTCTAATTTTTGTGTGTTTTTCCTTCCTTACCTTCCAGTCATTAAAGAAGCTCAACCATGCCAATGTAGTAAAATTAAAAGAAGTTATCAGGGAAAATGATCATCTTTATTTTATCTTCGAGTACATGAAGGAAAATCTTTACCAGCTTATTAAAGAAAGGTATAGTTTGCTCATGACCATCTTAGAAATAAAGATTGTGAAGGGGATGTGTTTTCTTTCTGTGTTGTTCATTGCACTCTCACAGTTCTTTCTGTGCTCCTGGGCATCTGTTGTAAGCTGCTGGCTGGAAAAGAGGCCCAACCCACATTCCTGCTCTGGAGGCCTTCTGGTAGCCTCAGGGAAGCTACGTGCGGTGCAGCTGCTTTCCTGTTTTAAAGGCTTCTTCACCCAAGGAAGCTCACGGATCTCACAGTCCCAGTGCAGTTCTCCACTCCTGTGTGCGGCATAGCAACTACAAGTCAGGGACCTGCACGCTTTGTTTGTTTTGAGACTTTCTGTTGAAGAGTTCTAGGCTCGTTTCAGTTCCTGTCGTGCCACAGCATTCAGGTACTTGCGTGCTGGGAAGAGGAGACTGATGAGGAACTTAGCCTGCTATGATAATTTTGAACTTTAAAAATGAACCACAGGGAGCCTCCAGGGCATGCTTTCATGGTGGCAGAATGAATGCCATTCACAGCATCTCTCAGAGCAACTTGAGTGAACAAATACCATCTTCAAGGTCAATAACTGCAGTGAAACCATGTGGTTTGCCCAACCAGGGGGAAAATATTAGCATCTACTGCATCTCATAAGCTCTCATCGGGATGACCTTAAGATTTTCCCCACTAACATTTTTTTTGAAGTTTCAGTTCATATCATGAAGGAGACCTTTAGATTTTTATGTGCTGTGTTAGAGGGAATGATTTTGTATTGTTTACTATAAAATATGTAATATTTTCTCCTTTGTAACTTGTTTAGTATTTATAAGATAACTGCCCTAATGAGCAAATGGTTGTTTTTCTTTACTATTTATTACCAAAGGATCTGGTAAAAAAAAATTAGTGTATAAGTGAATGTTTTCTTACTTTCTTACTGTTTAACCAGTGCAACATGGAAGTGGCATTTGTTTTCATAGGTCAGCCCGGATTGATCACTTTTGTTTTCCTGTGTCCCATACAGGAATAAATTATTTCCTGAGTCGGCTATCAGGAATATCATGTTTCAGATCCTGCAAGGACTTGCCTTTATTCACAAACATGGTAGGTGATCTGCAGGATTGTGTGTTTAAACAGCAGTGAAATGTTGTCAAGTCAGAAGCGTTCATGTCTTCTGGAACTGACTCCCAGAAAAGGCTAAAGAATTAAGAAGTTGACAGTGGGTTTAGGAATATGTTGTGTTTTGTAACTTGGTTTCTGAATATCCCTTGCTATTCATCTTGCCTGTGTGTTTCTTTAGGCTTTAACATTGAACTGTTAGTTATAGATCTCAAAATGATTCCTGACTATTAACTGGCACATTAACGAGAAACCCAAGATTAGAATTCTGAGAAGTTCCATGTATGAATTTTAACCCACCAACTAGTATCACTTCACTGTTTTCTCATTTTCCTAAGGTACAGTAGTCTCCCTGTATCTACAGTTTTGCTCTGTGTGGCTTTGGTTACCCATAGTCAACCACAGTACGTAAGAAATTTTGAAAGAGATCACATCCACATAACTTCTGTTGCAGCATGTTGTTATAATTGCTCTATTTTGTTATCAGTTTCTGTTGTTAATCTCTTACTGTGCCTCATTTATAAATTAAACTTTATCATAGGTATTATGTAAGGAAAAAAACATAGCCTATATAAAGTTTGAATCCATTCTCTCAGGCATCTGCTGGGCCCCTTGGAACTATCTCTTTTGGGGGCTAAAATATTTACATTCCCACTTGTTTCAAAAGAGTTTTAATGTGGTTCAAACAGAATTCATGCAACAGGGAAAATAAAACAAGTTAAAAATCAGTAAACTAAAAAAAAGGGTGGGGGTGCGGGGGGACAATGGCAAAGCTATGGATATAGCCAGGGGAGAGATTAGTCCTCAAAATGCATGTCAGCAAATTTCATTTTAGTGGAAGAAGCAGGCTACAGATTTGATTTTTGTGTTTGTTGTCAGACCATGCAAAATGTGAAACAGGGTCAGTTACAACATAGGTAGTTTCTCTGAGGTAAAAAGCAGTTGCCCAAGAATAGCAGAGCTAATCTTGATACTGAGATAATCTTGATACTGAGATTAGAGAGAAGTTTCTGGTCATGGGCCTTTAGAGGCGACAGTAGGTAGCATGACTTCTTTCTAAACACAGAAGCAGCTTACATAGGGCAGTTTCATGCCATGTTCCTCAGGTAGGCCAATTACATCACCTGGTCAGAGGAAAAAGTGCTACTGAGGCCCAGTATGGTTTGCTCTGGACATGGTCTGGTGACTCTAGGGAGAGATGAGTATCCAGAGAAACAGATGGCCACATAGCCTTCAGGCAGTGTTCATCTCTCTTTTTACCTCACTGAGCTTTTGAAAGGTTTTAAGCAACCATGGGGTTGAGGTTATATTTTTTTCTCCAGCAGCTAGCTGGAGCATTGCCAGTCTTTGCTACTGACTGGACATAGACCCAGTTGGGCTTGGATCAATATCTTCTTGTAAACACAGAGGTTTACATGAAGCCATGGGTGAGGCCAAAGGTCCCCTCAGATGTCATTTGAGATCATTTTAACATACAGATAGAAGGGCAAAGCAACTGGCTTTGCACAGGCAGAAATCCATTGTCAGTCTAAGGACGTTGTTGGTATTGAAATGTTGTGCCAACAAATGAGCTTTATTACTTAGTGAGGAGGCTTAATGGCTTGAAGCCAGTTCAGATTTGACATGAATTGCCAATGAGTAGAAAAGACTTGGTGTACACCTGGATTGTTACCCACCTGCTCTTTACCCTTAAGTAATTCCTCACAGTTGGAGACTAAATGGAGCACAAACAGACAAAGACTATCTGTGCAAATCCCTGTCAGCTTCTGGTACATGCTGAGTAATCAGCGTGGACATTTCAAGACTGAGTCAGATTGTGAGCCAATTCCAGAAAAAAGGTTCCTGGTTACTTCTTTTTTTTTTTTTTTTAAGGTTTTATATATTTATTTGAGAGATAGAGTTACAGGCAGTGAGAGGAAACAGAGAGAAAAATCTTCCATCCACTGGTTCACTCCCCAGATGGCCGCAATGGCCAGAGCTGTGCTGATCCAAAGCCAGGAGCCAGGAGCCAGGAGCTTCTTCCAGGACTCCCATGTGGATGCAGTGGGCCATCTTCTCCTGTTTTCCCAGGCCATAGCAGAGAGCTGGACTGGAAGAGGAGCACCCATATGGGTTGCCAGCACTGCAGGCAGAGGATTAGCCTTCTGAGCCACATTGCTGGTCCCTCCTGGTTACTTCTGCCTGTACAAGTACTTTATGTCCATCTGCTTTCCTGGAAAAACCCGTGTATTCTCAAAGACAACAAGAGAATAAGAGGTGAAGAAAATCATAATTGTAAATAGGATAGATACTAATTGTATAACCTCTATTCCATTTTCATTGACAATTGATTTTTGAAAGCTTTTTATGATTTTTCATGTGGAATTGATTGACTTTGAATGCACCAGTGACTCCATATTATTCCTTCTATCTAGTAATGGTGAAAAATATCTAAAGCACTCCACAGATTTGTCTCTTCCCTTGGCGCTCATTCTCACTGTGACAAGGTGCGTTCTGCCCCCAGGGAGCAGGCTCCTTTGAGAGCGAACAGTGCTGCAGGTAGTTGCTATGGCCATACTTCTCGTCGCTGAGTATTTTACCCACACAGGGAGTAGCAGCTACTTGCTGCTGATTAGGCAATGCCAAAGCATATGTACTTTGTAGGAATTAAACAATTAACTCAAAGTGTCTCTTTCATCCTTGACCTGCCCTTAAAAATACCCAGATACCCATGCAGGTAACAGAAATGTATTGAGTAGCTGGAAGGACAGGACAATGTTATGTGGCAAGAAGTGATTCTCTGCTTTTGTGTTCCACCACTGACTTACCATGCATGATCCTGAGATATCCCATGATCCCTTGCTTTTTGGTTCTTTGCTGTCCTCTTAGCTTTCTTGGTGAAAACATTGTGGGCTTAAATTCAGGATTATCTGTTCAATTGCAGTTTCCACAGTGGGAAGGCATGCTCTGTAAAGTCATAGCATTCAAATATTGCTTTTTTCCATGTAGTCATATCAGAGCCACACGTAACAGAATGTGGTAGAAAGTACAGAAAGCCTTCATTGTAGCTTCATTTTTTTTTTTTTTTTGCCCAGGGGTTATTAATGAGAAAATATGCACAACAAATTTTCTGCCAGAGTGAAAAGGAAAATCCCTGTTCCTTTACTGGCATGTGGGACCCTGCAATTAAGTTGAAGGTTTGGTTCTGTCTTCTGGAAGCCAAACAGTTTTGAACAAGAAGATTCTTACCATCAGAGCACGTGGCTGTTGCGTGATTAGGAATGACCTGGCTACAAAGTTTGTTTGTTTGTTTGTTTGTTTGTTTTAAGATTTATTTATTTATTTGAAAGGCAGAGTTACAGAGAGTCAGAGGCAGAGACAGAGAGACTGGTTCACTCCCCAAATGGCTGCAGCAGCCAACACTGGGCTGATTCAAAGCCAGGAGCCAGGAGCCTCTTCCAGGTCTCCCATGTGGGTGCAGGAGCCTGAGCACTTGGGCCATCTTCCACTGCTTTCCCAGGCGATAACAGGGAGCTGGATTAGAAGTGGAGCAGCTAGATCTTCAACCAGCACTTACATGCGATGCTGGCACTGCAGGCAGCAGCTTTATCTGCTGTGCCTCAGCACTGGCCCCCAAGGGTTTCCACTGTGACTGAGAACCCAGAGGAAGAAGTAGGCTCATTGTTTAAGGCCACAGTGCACACATCAGCAGAATGTGCACCCAGTGTGGTAAACATCAAAATTTCAGTGCCACCTCAGGAGCCTTCCTTCACTCTTTCCTGCAATAAGTGGAGCTGTGTCTGCCTGAGCACTTACCAGGCTGTTGGTCAATCGAGACAGTTTTCTAGTAATAAGACTTGTATCATTATACTGCTGTGATATATTTCCTCTCTTATGGATATAGTTGGGTTTGAAAAGTAATCATGTGACAGTAAGGGCCTTATGCCTTTAATTTCCAAGGAGTAAAACTCATGGGTATAAGGCCGATAACAATTGCTGTATTATTCAGTAATTAACAGAGGGATAGATTTATTCATGTATTTGTTATAAAGGCATATACTTAGTATAACAGACAACAGCGTATGTCAACTGACAGGTACAGTTTGCATCAGTTATTTATTAAAGTCTGTTGCAGCTCATTTTTTCCCCTAGCTGATGTGGGCAATGAACATATTAATTTTTGATCCAGGTTCTTGTGTCCCACAGAGATAAAAATACTAAGCGGAGACTGGGATGGTATGCAAATAGGAACACAGTTTACTTGTCAGTGAGGAAATAAACATGCATTTATGCTCAAATGTAGGTTGCCCCACACTGATAAATACCCAACATAAGCAGGCCAAAGAATTGCTCATAAACTAGAGAGAAAGGAGAAACTGAAAGTGGTTCCTCTAATTGGGACAGTCTGGCCGAGAGTGGGTTAGAGGGGGTGTGGTGAGGTTCATCCTAGTTCTGCGGAGGAAGAGCGCACAGAGAGCAAGGGCCCTGTGTGTCAGCATGTTCCACGTGAGAGAGGTGCCTCTAAACCAGGTCCATAGTGGAAAGAGAGCTCTTTCCTGCCTTCCACCTCTTTTTATAAGGAGAGGAGTGCCACACCAATTGGATATACAAACGGGGTGGGGTCTTAGCATATGCCCTGGTCCTGGGTGTGACAGCTGCATCCTGGGAAGGTATGTTTAGCAAATTGATAGTTAGAGACAGCATCAAGAGCAGGGGTCAAGAGTCCCAGGTCATCACACCTAGTTAGCTTCCTGCCTATTTGTCTCCTATCATAACCATTTTCCTTCTGATTGCTTTGGGCCTGAAGTATGATCTATAGAAAGGGAAGCTACTTAGAGGGCCAATGGGGAATGGGATCTTCCCTCTCCTCACTTCATTAGTGCCCAGGCTCTCTGTGGAAGGAGGATTAAAGGAGATTTAGCCGTGATGGGAGGAGGTGGTTGGTGTTTGCAGGCGTGTGACTCAGGGACTGTGCAAAGGACAAGGTCTGGAGCACAGGGATGATGGCCAGATCTAGTGCAAATTAGTGTGACGAGATGAACCGAACAGGGGAAGGTGCAAGATTGTTGAGGTGGGTGTCGTGGATGGTGGCAGAGGGGGTTGCAGTGGGGTGAGGGCTGGAAGGCAGATGACTCGTTATAAGGGAAATGACACAGAAGTTTGGAAATAATATTTAGCCCAGCTAGAGGAGACAAAAGGGAGTCCATGAGGAAAAGCAGCTTTATTCTGGGTTTGAGAGAGGCTCAGACCTACAAATCAAGATTTAGCTACATGGATCGAGGGAGAAGAGGAGAGGTTGACACTGCAACAGCTGTGACACATTCCTACCGCCTCTCCTGTGACAGAGTTTTCCCATCTGTTCAGTAAGAAGATGACGTCTGCCGCTTCTCTTTTCACTGGAGTGTGTTGACGCTCCGAGTTTTTAGGAACAGGGACAGTGGTCTTGCCGGTCATTTATTTTCAGGGGTCACAGGAATCCTAGGAGCATTGACAAAAGATCACCCTCTAATAACTTCTCATGTCTTTACACATTCTTAAGCCACATCCAGGAGAGAACATACAGTCAGGGCTTCTGGGAGCTTGAGGGAGCTCTGTGGAACAGAGGGTCTATACACAGTGACTCAGTCCTACCAAGTCTAAGAACAGGCTTCGCCCACTCTGGTTGTGTGGGTAATCTTTATTTAATTAGGCTGATAATACGCCATCCAAATTTGTCCATATGAGAAATTCTTTTCTTTCATTTTAAAGGTCATTCTTGACTAATACTGAATTCATCTTTGCGTTCATAGAGTTGACAACCTAAAGTGTGGTTCCTACTATAATTTAAGTTTCATTTACTCTTACTTTGATTAGGATACGTCAAGGAATTGCTATGAGGAATGCCAGTATTTATATATCAGTACAATGGCAGAATAAAGAAATAGAATATATGTGTGTGTGCATAGTATGTATGCAAATTCACACACATATATACACACATACATTATACATATGCATATACATACTCATGTATGACCCAGCTGCAGCCATTTTGCCATTTGGGGAGAGAACAATGGAGGGGAGACCTTTCTCTCTGTCTCTTTCCCCTCTCTGTCTGTAACTCTGCCTCTCAAGTAAATAAAATAAACAAATAACATTGTTGCTTTACGTGATTCATGGTGTTTAGTGCGTCTCCACATTTAACTATGTCATGGTCCCCTTCCCCTGCCTCCACAGCTGAGACAGGCTGGGAAATAACCTTGACTAACAGGTTTAGTCCTGCTGAATGTGACCCGTGGTGAGGCCTTCCAGCATTGAGCCTGTTTTTGTCCCCTGTACCGCATCAGGGTCATTGCTTTTTTCTCAGTGCTTAGCTGCCCTCCCTCCAGGTCTGGTCTTTGTTGACCTTGCTCAGGTGGATTTGTCACCACTAAGCTTCTTCATGCTCCCTATTGAAGTCAACAAGAATATACTACGAGACCCCCATGCTCTTGCCACTGTGCTAGTTATTTAGGAGAAATATAAGCAAAACTTTTATCCTTAAAGTGTTTCCACGTAATTAATGAAAAATGGTTAATGTACTTGAAAATGATAGAGCTGTACTCAGGTTCAGAGAGAAGGGTCTATAACATCTCTGCCCTTCACAGTGTGACATAGAGCTGTCCCTCTCTGCTTCCTTAGGCAAAGCAAAAGTATTTAACATTGAAACACATGTTGCAGCACACACCTGAATCTCAAATATGAGTAGATCATATTGATGAACGCTTTGTTTTCTAAACAAACAATTTTTTTCTGCTGTGGTATATTCTTTTGATACTCCTAAGACTATTGTCTTTTTTTTTTTTTTTTAAGAATCATTTTATTTATTTGAAAGACAGAGTTACAGAGAGAAGGAGAGGCAGAGAGAGAGAAAGGTCTTCCATCTGCTGGTTCACTCCCCAAATGACTGCAATGGCCAGAGCTGAGCTGATCTGAAGCCAGGAGCCAGGAGCTTCTTCCAGGTCTCCCACGTAGGTGCAGGGGCCCAAGGAGTTGGGCCATCTTCCACTGCTTTCCCAGGCCATAGCAGAGAGCTGGATTGGAAGAGCAGCAACCAGGACTTGAACCGGCATCCATATTGGATGCCGGCAACACAGGCGGAGGCTTTAACCCACTGTGCCACAGCGCCAGCCCCCAGACTATTGTCTTTTGAAATGATTTTAATCCAGGTTCTATCTGACTGATGCAGGCAGGGTAGGAATCATGTTTTTCCCCTGAAAAAACTACTTTTGCACAGTTATCGCAACCCCTAACTGAACATTGATTTTAATTTAATTACTATTCATTTTATTTGAAAGGTAGAAAGAAGTAGACAGAGAGGGAGAGACAGAGCGAGAGAGAGAGCGAGAGCGAGACTTCCCATGTGCTGGTTTGTTCACTCCTCAGATGCCTGTTTCAGTTGGGGCTGAACCAGACCAAAGCCAGGAGCCCAGAATTCAAGCCAGGTCTCCCATATGAATGGCAGGGGCCCAGCTACTCGAACCATCATCTGCTGCCTCACAGGGTGCACATTAGTAGGCAGTGGTATTGGAAGAGGGGCTGGGATTTAACTCTAGGCACTCTGACAATGAGATAGGGGCATCTCAAATGGTGTCTTTACCACTTTGCCAAACTCCTGCCTTGGGTTTTGATATTTTAAAGGAAATATTTCTCTCTTGTAAAAAAAAGTAAATAAGAATTATAAAGATCAACTTTGGAATGCTTTTGAGAAGGGAAGCACCCCAGTAAGAAGTCCAAGGTACTGTATGTTATCTGCGGGATGGAGGCAGTCTTTGGTTTCATGCCAGACTGCTCTTTAAATTATGGTCGTTAGGAAAAGAGCAGTACAGCCTCAAAGAGTAAGGCAGAAACAAATGTGCATTTGGATTCTTTCTCTGCTGTCTCTGCAGGCTTCTTCCATCGGGACTTAAAGCCGGAAAACCTACTCTGCATGGGACCAGAACTTGTGAAAATTGCAGACTTTGGGCTGGCCCGAGAAATCCGATCCAGACCTCCATACACGGACTACGTATCTACCAGATGGTGAATACTGTTTTTCTCCAAACTATTTAATTGTACTTGTCTAAAAAGATACCATTATACAGAGGAGGATGTCAAAGTCACAGCCATTAACTTTTCACCCAGAGAATGGAGCAATCTGAAACACATATCTGTAGGTATGTCAACATTGTACAAGGTTAAAAACTTGTAAGTAATTTTAAATTATAACAAGTTACAAATAAGATTTTGTATATAGTTCTTTCTGGGAACACTTTCCCAAAAGAGTTATATAAAATTTCTCTAACTATCTATTTGAAAAACCTTATAATTGCTATTGTTTTTTAAATTATTTTATTTATTTCAGAATAGTGTTAAGTTTACAAGAGAAAAATTGTGAGGTAACAATACAAAGAATTCCCATATATCCCTTACCCCTTTTCCCCATTAACATTTCGTGTTAGTATTTTTGTCACAATTAATGAACCACATTCAACTAATTGTTGTAGTTAAAACTTTTTTTTTAAGATTTATTTATTTATTTGAGATGCAGAGTTACAGACAGGAGAAGGAGAAACACAGAGAGAGGTCTTCCATCTGCTGGTTCACTCCCCAAATGGCCATAATGGCTAGAGCTGGGCCAATCTGAAACCAGGAACCGGGAGCTTTGTCCAGGTCTCCCACATGGGTGCAAGGGCCCAAGCACTCAGGCCATCAGCAGAAACTGGGTCAGAAGTGGAATGGCTGGGACTCAAACAGTCACCCATAGAGGATGCTGGCACTGCAGGCAGAAGCTTAACCTACTATGCCACAGCACCAGCCCTAGTTAAAACTTTCATATCCTAGGAATTTGGTTTAAGCAATTTGCCATGACCAAGGAAGTATTTTACACACATTTTGTGTCTTCTTTCTCTCGCCCTTACCCATCCCTTCTCTTTCCTCCTAACTCTCATTCTCTGTTTCTCAAAGATGCTGTAGATGAGACTCTAGTAGAGAAATGCTCAGTAGGAAATGTTATAAGGGGCAGATACTTGGCACAGCCGTGAAGAAACCACTTGGGATGGGTGCATTCAGTATTGCAGTGCCTGAGTTCAAGTTCCAGCTCTGCTCCCAATTTCTGGCTTCCTCCCAGTGGGGCAGCAGGTGATGGGTCAAGTACTTGGGTCCCTGCCACTCCCATGAGAGACCCAGATGAGTCCTAGGTGCCTGGCTTCAGCCTAGCCCAGCCCCTCCTGTTGTGAACCAGTAGATGAGATTGAGATTCATTCTCTCTCTCTCTCTCTCTCTCTCTCTCTCTCTGTGTGTGTGTGTGTGTGTGTGTGTGTGTGTGTGTGTCTGCTTTAATGTTTACTTATTTGAGAATCAGAGTGACACAGAGAGAGGGAGAGACAGAAAGAAATTTCCTATCTGCTGGTTCACCACCCAAATGGCTGGGGCTGGGCCAGACCAAAACCAGGAGCCTGGAACTCAATCTAGGTCTCTCATATGAGTGGCAGGAGGCACAGGCACTGGAGCCATTCTTTGCTACCTTCCCAGGCACATCTGCAGGGAGCTGGCTCAGAAGTGAAGTAGCCAAGACTGAAACAGGTACCCTGATACGGGATGCTGGTGTTGTAAGCGGTGGCTTAACCCACTGTGCCATAAGGCTGACCCCTTTGTGTGGCTCTCTCTCTCTCTCTCTGTTCCTTTCAAATAAATAAAAATAAGTATTTTTTTTTAAAGTGTACACTAAGTCCTTTAAAAATTGAAAAGAAAATGCTATAAAATAAAGAACCATTACTTTTTTTTTTTTTTTTTTTGACAGGCAGAGTGGACAGTGAGAGAGAGAGACAGAGAGAAAGGTCTTCCTTTGCTGTTGGTTCACCCTCCAATGGCCGCCGCGGCCGGCGCGCTGCGGCCGGCGCACCGCGCTGATCCGATGGCAGGAGCCAGGAGCCAGGTGCTTTTCCTGGTCTCCCATGGGGTGCAGGGCCCACGCACCTGGGCCATCCTCCACTGCACTCCCGGGCCACAGCAGAGAGCTGGCCTGGAAGAGGGGCAACCGGGACAGAATCCGGTGCCCCGACCGGGACCAGAACCTGGTGTGCCGGCGCCGCTAGGCGGAGGATTAGCCTAGTGAGCCGCGGCGCCGGCCAACTTTTCTTTTTTATTTTCATTTTATTTAAAAGATAGAGATAGAGATCAATCTTCCATCTTCTGGTTCATTCTCTAAATACCTGTGGCTGATAGGGCTGGGCTGGGCTGAAGCCAGGAGCCCAGAACTACATCTAGGTCTCCTATGTGGGTGGCAGAGACCCAAATAGTTGAGCCAGCACCTGCTGCCTCCCAGGGTGCGTACTTGACTGGAAGCTGAATTGGAAGCAGAGGAGGTCGGACTGCAACCCAGGCATTCTGATGTGGGATTGGAGGCATCCCAAACTCTGACCTAAGCACTGTACCAAATGCCCGCCTCTAGAAGCATTGCTCTTCAGCAGGCAACAACAGCTTCAAAGTCATCACAAGTCCATGCACCACAGTAAACTGGAGAAAACAGAAATATAGAAACTCAGAGCCTGCGTTGTTGCTTAATTTGATTTCTGACCCATGGAATCAATAGCTCGTGGTTAACCTCTGTCCCTCCAGGTACAGGGCCCCAGAAGTACTCCTGAGATCCACCAACTACAGCTCCCCTATTGATGTCTGGGCCGTGGGCTGCATCATGGCAGAGGTGTACACCCTCAGGCCGCTCTTCCCTGGTGCCAGTGAGATTGACACGATATTCAAAATTTGCCAAGTCCTGGGGACACCGAAAAAGGTAATGACACAGAACGAAGGCCTGTGGACCGACGCCGGCAGCTTCTCGTGCTGCTTGCGGTCCAGCCCTGTGCAACTCTGGCGCTGTTGAGCATCTGCTTATTCTGGAATCTTTCCTTCGGCCTTGGTCAGGTCCCCAGATGTGCCTGCCTCTCTTCCTCCTTCTACTCAAGTATGCTGTCTGTCCTGGCTCCCTCTGTTTTCCTCTCCTCTTCATTGCACCTCCCAGCAGTGCGTCTCTGTTCTCTTTCTTGGCCACAACTCATATCTCAGGTCTCCTAAATGCAATCTGTGCTCTCACCTCCCTCCTTTTAACGCCATCCAGTCCACATATGTACAACTACGTAAGGGAGTTACTCCCGACTCCCTCACCGTCACCTCGAACTGAGTTGGAGGAACAATGCGCTTCCTTCTTCCATTCTCCATTTCTGTCTCTGGTCTCATCGTAATCCCAGAGTCCCAGGCTTGGGGCTGGGCTTTAGCTTTGCCTTCTCTCTTTTCCTCAATCCTCCTTCCCTTTAACCAACCAGTTGGTCAGGACGTTCTAATGAATATCACTGTGGTATCTGACACATGCTACTCATTCTTTGAAGTTAAATGCTGCCATTACAAATGGGACCATGACCAGCCTGCCTGTGTTAAGAGTATCTTCATCTTCCTGTCTTCCATTCTTCCTTTCAGCTTAGCTTTTAGTCTGCAGCCAGAGTCATTCTCCCAATGAACAGCTCTGGTACTGTCCTTTCTCCCTAAAAATAGTGGTTAACTCTCATCCCTATTCCCCACGTGGTACCTGCCTGCACACCCTCAGGCTGTGAGCCCTGGAACTGCCCCACCTCTGTGCTCTCCCCTGGAGAAATCCTGCTGCCCCTTCAAGGCCCTCAGTGATCTCCCGCCTCACCACTTCTCCAATTTCCTTGTTATCTTCAGCTATGTTCTGTGTTATTAATAGAATTATCTGTGGATATATCTGTTTCCTGGACCACAGGTTCACTCCGAGCAAGGATTTGTCTTGTGTTTGTTTTCCCAGATCCCAGCCCTGTTGCTGATACAAATGAGACCCTCACATGTGTATCTGTACCTCTTGTGGCCTTTGTCACTTTTTAGTCTACATGATAATGTTTTTTTCATAAATGTTTTGTTATCTTCTTTAAAGAAGGTACAGGATTTTCATTGGATTGTTTTTTAATATCCAACAGCACTAAGCTTATAGTAGACGCTCAGTAACTAAGTAAATGAGTGATATAAGCTATACTTATTGCCACTTGGCTTTTGAAAAGGGAGGGGAAACAATTACTTCAGGATGTAGTTTATAAAATAGGGGGTGTTACAAGTAGAAGGAATCTTGAAGATTTGTTCAAGATTTTCCATCATTCACCCCTACATTCGGTGTCCCATAGATGTGATGCAAGAAAAAGTAGAAAGCTTGAGGCTTAGAGAAACAGCTTCCATGGTCTTCTCAGCATGTGAGTTTTTGCTATGGGAGTGGAGAGTAGGAAGGCAAGGACCAATGAACTGAATGAAGCTCACAGAGACAGTAAGTATACCTAGAAAGTTTATTATAGGAAAAGAAAGTACACTTCCTAAAGAGTAGAAGCAGGCCAAGAATCAAAGCTCATATTGAGGCCGAGACTCGAGGTCCCAAATGTGAGAAATGTTACATTTTTACAAGGATGAGGAGCCCTTAGTGTGGCTTTGAAGACCCCTGGTGTAGGGATCCCCTGGCTGTTAGCATATCTCTACAGCGTATAGGTGAAGGGTTTCCAAGCTGGCAGTTTCTTTTTCTCAGCTTCCCCAGTTAGCCCTTTTTTGTCTCCTCCCTCAGTGTCTTGGTCTTGGATAAAGGAGGCAGAGATGGAGAGAAAGGGACAAACTAAAAAAGAACTTTGGTATTTGCTTTTCTCTGCTTCCCAGGTTAGTCCCTAGCTATCTCCTGCCTCATTTTTGAATCTTCAAGTTGAACATAAAGTAACATAAGTAAAGGATGTATGGTTTCACAAATTCTATTTGACTCAGGAATAAGGTATCATATTTAGTTCCCCCCCCAAAAAAATCTTATTAGCAATTTCTAGAACTCTGCCTTGTGAAATGCAGTTGAGCAAATACTAATTTTGTTCAGAGTTAAAATCACTAGAGATGGACTATTTTAGGTGAAGGTTATAAAGCAAGTTGATTGAAAATCTGGTCCTTTCCACTATCCCCCAGATTTCCTGTTCTTCGCAGTCTTTTCATTAAGATGTCTCTGTGTCTCCTCACCTACACAGCCATGGTAGTGATTATAGACAGGTTTGGAATATGGCTGCCCTTCCATCAGGAGCACACGTGCTGGAACGCAAACTCAGGTCATAGCAATTGGCTAAACAAGACTTTCTCTGTTTTCCTTTTTTCAGACTGACTGGCCTGAAGGCTACCAACTTTCAAGTGCTATGAACTTCCGCTGGCCCCAGTGTGTCCCCAATAACTTAAAGACCCTGATCCCAAATGCCAGCAGCGAAGCGATTCAGCTCCTGAGAGACATGCTCCAATGGGATCCCAAGAAACGACCAACAGCTAGTCAGGTTTTCTTCTGTTTTCTTATTCTGTTTGATGCATCTCTTACGGAGTTCATGTTTAACTCTCAATAATCTCTAAAAATCATGTAGGAAAAATTTTATTTAGTGTTCTAGATGAAAAATAGTATTGATATCACTATGGTATACCATATAAGATGTAAGAACTTAAAATAGTTTGGAACTTAAAGTAGCAAAGGTTTATATAATATCAATGCTTTGAAAATTGGCGTATAATTCATATATCACCACATGTAGAAATGAAAATAGATTTATCTATCTGTGTTTGGAGAAGGTTGTCAAATACTCATGAGTTTTCTACGAATTCTCTATGAATTAAGATTACAGTTGTTTATAAGCCGGTACTGGCTGTTGAAAAATAGCTTCATAACTTGTAAAATCCAACACACTCATTTTCACAGATAACAGAGAGACTGATAGGTGAGGTAAAGCTAGAACAGTCACCGTAACTAGTATTTTATAGCACTTTGCCTCTTGAAAATGCTTTAGTATATCTTATGTGACTCGAACCTAATAAAACTCTATGAGATAAGCATTATTGTTTTCACTTCTGTAAGTGAGAAAACTGAATCTCAGAAAGTTTAAGGGATTAGCCCTAACTGCTTATCCAGTAAACAGTACAGGCAGAGCAAAGTCTAACACACAGATGACGGATCGTACAACTTCAGTTTTCCTGTTTTCTTACTCACCCTCTCCTAGGCCACTTTGAGTTAGATTATGAAATACACCCCAAAGTGGACTAGTTATGCCGTGAGCTCCAGCACTCACCTGCTCCCTGCAAGGCCCCCTTTGTATTACATGTATCTGGACCCTTGTCAACTTGTCTCATTGACAGTTCCACTACTCAGAAGATCAAGTGACCACTTCTAATCAGAGGAGAGATTTGGCTGAGAGGAGGTGGTGGGGACATTTAAACAAAGTGCCAATGTAATGTTAGGACTTATGATAGTTGGGGGACTAATTTAAAGAGTGTAGAAAAGCAGTCTTGCAAAATCTCCAAGAAAAAAAAGCTAGAATTCAGTGCTCTAAGAGTCTGGATGGCTTCAGAGGGTTTGAGAGCTCGCAAAATGCACCAGGGCTGGTGGAATTCACAAATGGTTTCAGGGCTGAGCGGATGTTTTCTGATGAACCTAGTTCTTTAACGGTTGCGCACAGAGGTGAAAAAGATTCTATAACAAGGAATCGATAGAAATATGTGCTTTTCAGCACAGTGCCAGAAAACCTAAGAATACCTCCAAATCGTCTGATATTTTAAAAATGAGAACACAGAGAAAACTCTTCAAGTCAGATGCCAGAATCCATGGCCTCTACCCAAGTCCGCATTATTTGCTTCTTTGTCCACCCTTATTTAATCATGATGTAATCATTAGGGATGTTTGTTAACTGGGTCCCAGGTTCATTAAGAAAGATCATGTTGCATTCAGTAGCTTCCATTCAAAAAGACAGCAGAATCAAGGGGATATATCAAAAAGAATTGTAAACTTCAGCACTTGTAAGATTTAGCCTCTGGCTATCCAGCAAACTCTACTACCCAGAACAACCGACATGGTTTCCTTGAGAGCTGTTCTTGAAAGGGAAAGCTAACTTCTGCATGCATTATGCTCTTGGCACTTGTGGAGTAATAGCATGTATACCCACTTGTTTTGTTCTCTGTTCTCCTGAGTCCTCCAGGAATTTTAGATTTGACTCTTGGTTCTGTGTTATTTTCTTCTCTCTATAGAATTAGGAAACGAATTAGGGTGAAATACCATGTTTAAGACATGTAGCAAATAAGTCGGAAAACCTGGATTGACACTGATCCGCAATGCTTTTCAGAAGTAGCAAAGGTAACAGCAGTGTAACTGGCTACTTTAGCCAAGTAATTTTTTTTTTAAAGATTTATTTATTTATTTGAAAGTCATAGTTACACTGAGAGGAGAGGCAGAGAGAGAGAGAGGTCTTCCATCCGATGGTTCACTCCCAATTGGCCACAATGTCCAGAGCTGTGCCAATCCGAAGCCAGGGGCCAGGAATTCTTCCCGGTCTCCCACGTGGGTACAGGGGCCCAATGACTTGGGCCATCTTCTACTGCTTTCCCAGGCCATAGCAGAGAGCTGGATCGGAAGTGGAGCAGCCGAGACTAGAACTGGCGCCCATATGGGATGCTGGCACTTCAGGCCAGGGTGTTAACCCGCTGCGCCACAGTGCTGGCCCTAGCAAGTAATTTTAAGTGTTGCATCCAGTAAGTAAATTTTAGGGTATCTTAGAAAAAGAAAATGACAAGGGGTGTTACAGATGCAGAATGCTGGCCTGAGAAAATGTAGGAAACTGGTCACAGGGAATGTAACCCAGCGATCATGACCGTGTTCTCAGCCCTGGCCTGCTTTTCTCCAGCGGACTGATTTGTCATTCCAGGCCCTTCGATACCCTTACTTCCTTATTGGGCACCCACGGGGCGGCACCCTACAGAGTGTTCAGGATCCAGGAAAACCACAGAAAGACCTCTTGGAAAAAGCAGGCCCTGCTCCTCATATAAAGCCTGTCCCTCCTGCCCAGCCCCCCACCAAGCCTCACCCACGGATTTCTTCACGACCACATCCCTCCAGCCAGGCCCCCCAGCATCTCACCTACCCCTACAAAGCAGAGGCCTCCAGGACGGATCACCCGAGCCATCTTCAGGAGGACAAGCCCAGCCCCTTGCTCTTGCCATCCCTGCACAACAAGAATCCTCAGTCGGTAAGCAGCAAGGGTTCTCCAGGGAGCCTTGTGTCTGGCTTCTTCCTCTTCTGACCCCGCTTACTGTGTGGAATCTTTGCTTTTCTGATCTAACTATAATATATTTACCTTTGCAAGAACATGGGATGATGAGAAGATTCTTGGCTCAGCAGGTAAAGATGCAAATTCGAGCTCTGGCTCTGCCTCTTGGTCACAGTGCCGCTCCTGGGGGCAGCTGTCAGGTAGTGACTGAGACCTGCACACTGCAGCCAGATGTCCGGGGTCACAAATCTCAGCTCTGCTATTTCACAGCTCCAAGACCCTGTGCAAGTTGCCCATTTCCTCTTCTGTAAAATAGAGGTGGTCCCAGCATCCACCCGATGGGATTGTTTTTGAGGACTAAGTTAAGACTTGAAAAGGACTCGGAATTGGACTTGGTACCCAGTTAGCCCTCCAATAAGAGTTATTCATTGTTACTATTAATCCCTTTGGCTCAGTTTTCTCATCTGTCAGAGGCAGATCGCGAAGCATGGCTCGCCCGCCATTCAAGGGTCGCTCATGATGCTCATGGAGAATCATAAAGTACCACCCTAATATTTGTGACTGGCACTCAGATTAACGCTGGGTACTCACTGAGCCACATCTTTCCCTTTGAGCTGGTTTTCAGAAGAAAACAGTTAAGTGTTAAATTCATTCAACTGATACCCTGATAAGGGATTCTAGTTATCCTTAGCTTTGTGATGCTTCTGAAGAGTGTGACTTTCTAAACCTTTGAGCAAAAGGAGTCCTTTTCTGTCAGCTAACATTCGCTGGGGGCTGGCTCCCAGCCAGCACCACGTGAGGCACCCTAAGAGTGGTATCTGCAGACTTCACCCCAAATCCGTGATTTAGAAATGGTTGGTTTGGAAATTTGTCCTGTTGTAAGAAAATTGTGTAATTAGAGATAGCTCCAGGTCCACTGAGAAGGCCAAGAAGGCATTGTTTTGAATTTCCTGGAGCAGAGCAGAATGGCGGACACCTCAGCCGTGCTCTCTTAGATCTCTGTGCATAATAGCATAAATCCCTAACTTCCCAGGGTGACTCTCAGATGAGAATCCAGTCAGCTTCCTAGTATGTCAGAAGCATATTAAATCCCCTTGTTCAGATCCTTGTTTTATGCAACTTAGTAGCCTCCGTGGATGAGAAGCAGTGCAGTTGGGGCAGGACAGGAGAGATCCAGATGTCTGGGGATATGATTTCCACGACTGTACTTTGAGACAGCCTGCATGTGGGGAATGTTATGCCCTAGGAGCCTCCTTTCTATAACAGAGGATGCTGGGAACAGGGATTGTTCATGGATGGGGTCTGTTAATCCCAAGTATTGCTCCTCTCCTCCTCTTGTTGACACAGAAACTTCCAGCTGGCCTAGAGCACAAAAATGGAGAGATGAAGCCAAAGAGTAGGAGGAGATGGGGTCTCATTTCTAGATCAACGAAAGATTCTGATGACTGGGCTGACTTGGACGACTTGGACTTCAGTCCATCCCTCACCAGGATTGATGTGAAAAACAAGAAGAGACAGAGCGATGACACTCTCTGCAGGCAAGTGCATGGCTGGTCACTGTAAGTAGACTGCATCTGTACCTATCAGGTGATGCAGTGTCCATCTATTTCTCTCTCTCTCTCTCGGACGCGTGCTTGCTGACCTAAGTCACATCCTCTTGATCTCTTGATTCAGATTCGAAAGTGTTTTGGACCTGAAGCCATCTGAGCCCATGGGTACAGGAAACAGTGCCCCTACCCAGACTTCGTATCAGAGGCGAGACACCCCCACCCTGAGATCAGCCGCCAAGCAGCACTACTTGAAGCACTCTCGATACTTGCCTGGTAATACACAGGACTTGCCTGTTCTGGGGTCAGTGATGGGAAATGTTGTCCTTGGAGTCACAGGTTCACATAGATTCTATTTTGGAAGACATATGTGGGGCTTCTTGTTGGAATTAATGGGTCCACTGTAAAAATACCTGCTGAAGTCTCTGCCCACATTTTTATCATTTTTTTAAAAAAAATAATTTGTTTTATTTATTTGAAAGAGTAACAGAGAGGGAAAAAAGAGAGCCATGGGAAATTTTGAACAGATTGGACTCTGCATTTATTTTATCTCTAAAGTCTGATACAAGATTAAATGCGTGTTTTACATCTTAAGTGCATTTCAAATAAAATAAATTGGCATTTTAAATAAACTTTTTGTGTATACTTAAGGTATATGACATGATACCTTATGCATGTGGATACGTGTAGATAGTAGAATGATTACTATAGCAAAGCAAATGAACATCTCCTTCATCTCACATCGTGGCCCTGCTGTTTTTGTTTTTGTGACAAGAACACTAAAGTCTGCTCACTGAGCATGAATCCCATACATGGTATAATTGTGTTACCTGTAGTATTCATATTGTACTTTAGACCTCATTACTTGTCCTTCACATCTGCTGCCTCGTATCTTCTTACCCATATCTCTCCATTCTTCCTCACCTTCCCTGCCCAACTTACCCTGGTAACCACTGTGCTGTTCCCTATCTCTGCATATTTGAAAAAAAAAAACAAAACAAAAATTCCACACATAAATGAAATCATGCAATATTTTTCTTTATGTGTCTGGCTTATTTCATTTAACATAATATCGTCTGGGCTCACCCCCCCCCCTTTTTTTTTAGTGCTGAACAATATTCTACTGTGTATATGTACCAATTTCTTTATCCACTGTGATTTACATTTTAAAACCCCTTCTTCTCTATAGGAATCAATATAAGAAATGGCATCCTGCCAAACCCAGGCAAGGACTTCGTTCCATCAAATCCATGGTCTAGTTCTGGTTTGTCCGGAAAGTCTTCAGGGACAGTATCGGTCATCAGCAAAATAAATTCAGGTGAGAAATGTTCATTAGCTCTTGAAAGACAAAAAGCCAGTCCTCTGGCTGCGGCAAGGCGGGCACAGCCAGATGGGAGACAAGCTGCGGAACCGCGAGGGCCTCTCTCGTGCGCAGACTCAAGCCTGCTTTCCTGCTCTGTCCACCCTCTCTAGGCAGCAGGCTCTGGGGTCCCGGCCAGCTCCCAAAGGGCCCTGCCCTCAGGAATCATTGAGGAATAAGGCAGATTGGAAGCCAGCTCGAGGGACAAGCAAAAATAACTTTACAGACTCGTGCCAAGCCTGACTTCAGAGGCCCTGCTCTGCCGTGAGCCACGTGGAGAAGGGCCCTGTGTCGCCAGTGCAGTGATGGCACCGAGACTGTGTTGGTTTCAATAAGGATTTTATTACGCACTGGGGAAGTCACACATCCTAGTTCACACAACACACTTGGCAAACCAGCCGCCCAAGGTTCCCAAAGTACCTCCAGTGTTCCTCACGACCTGTCTTAGCCATAGAGGATGGTTTCTCACAGCATCCGCACAGGTGGTGCCTCTGAACTGAAGAGCACAGTCACGTCTCAGTTTCGGGCGAGCAGGGCTTCAACAGCAGGCGAGCTCAGAGCCTCAGCATCAGTATTATGGTGAAGTTGTTTAGTTTCTACTCCTAATACCCTGTCTGCCTCACTCCAGCTAGTCCTGTCCATCTGGGGACCTGGCCTTTGAAATCCCTCCTGTCTAGAAGGTAGCTCCTTTGTTAAGTAAGGGAAGGAGTTGCTATTCCTGCTGGCTGACTCACTGTTTGCCTCCCACAGGCAGCCCATTCCTTCCCCTTGCACCTCAGCCAGCTTCACTTCTCCCTGCCTTCATCCTTCCGTGGTTTGCATTTGTTAAGGAATACAAAGAAAGAGATCAACAGCCTGTGTGTACCCACAGCCCAGTTGAAGAAGTCAAGCCTTGCAGGCACACAGGAAGCCAGTGTCTAAGCCTTTCCTTCCCCCTCTCCCCTCCGTCTTCCCTGCCCTGGCCTGATTTGGGTATTTTTTTTATTCCTGTGCACTGTTTTAAAATAGGTGTGAAATTCCTAGCACAGCTTTGCATGTTTTAAAATTTATACAAGAGTACTTCAAAAAGTTTATGGAAGATGGGATTAAAAAGATAAGGTTATTTTGGTGCTAAGATTTTTGAGATCCATGCATAGATTTTTTTTCAGAAGATATGTTTTTCTTAAGCTTTTCAGAGACCACTCACATGGATTTCAAAACTTATTGTACCAAAATGAACTTTTCTTCCCATTCCACTTTTCTACAGACTTTTTGAAACACCCTTGATATCGGAATTGACCCCCCTAAAATATGTATGAAAATGTGGCCCCTTAAAGTTCCCCAGAAGTCGAGTCTGTGGTGCCACATATGTTATCGGAATTTGGGGTGCCATACGATATTACCATATGCTTATTAATAAATCCCCAATATTAATAAGCCCGAGTGGGTTCTTGCCTAATATTTAGAGAAGAATTCTAAATACCGGCATAAATAAACGAGGCAGCATGGTACATTTAAAGCTTTTATTTAGTGCAAAACATGCATAGGAGAGTGAGAGCTTTATCTAAGAGAAAGGGGTAAATCTAGGTTCATACTGAGTACCAGGAACTGTTACTGGAGAAATTTGAGGGTTCTTGCCTTCGTGCAAGAAAGAATTCAGGCGTGAGACAGAGAGTAATGAGAGGTAAAATAGCAAGGTTTATTAGGGAAGGGACATTCGCAAGAACGGATGGGCACCTCTCCAGACAGGACCTGAGAGAGAGTGCAGTCGCTCAGACTGGGCAGGGAGGAAGGAGCGAGGTTACGTGGTTGAGTGGAGTACACCTGGCCAGACCAGGCCGGCGGCTCAGCAGAGAGGAAGAGGGCTGAGCGCACAGTCTGGTTGAGGCCGGGGGTTTTTAAGGAGATGGGTCTTTGTCTTCACATATCTCCTCCTGAAACAAAGGATTTTATGGCTGTAAATATTAAGAAGCTCCTATCTGAGTTTTCCCTTGAAGGTATCAGACAGGAGGAAGCCTAGCTGGTAGCCATCCTGGGTGAGCAGGACCCCCTAGAGAATGGGGACCCAGAGCAGAGTGTTTGAAATGCAGATACTGGGCTGCATCTGGGAGAGTGTGGAAGATTTGTCAGGCAGAAGGGGCGGGGACCTCCACCTGGCAGGTTATCAGGTAGAAGGGGGCAAGGCAGGATGCGAACACTGGGCTGCCCCTGAAGCATTATCGGGATGACTTTGAGATGTAGACACATATGCTGGACGTAGAAGTCTTCTCCGGAGGCCTTTGTCACACACACATAAGCTCATACCTAACTTCCTGCCTAGCAGAACCAGCCACATGGAGGAGCATCTAGGCCAGGAAGCCTAGGTCGGGTGGCCCAAAGGCCATGCGCCCTGGAGGCACAGGGCTACAGCCAGCCCCATACTGGCAAGAGGCCAGGGCGAGGGAAATGGAGGAAAGGGCCTGGCACACCCTGTCCCAGGCTTCTAATCCACTCTCAAAGGGGAGTGATTCATTAATCTTATTGGCCCATGGGCACACAGGTGTGGCCAGGTAAGGGCATGAGGTCACACAGGGGCCTGGCGAAGGTATCAGGGCATGAGGTCACACAGGGGTGTGACGAAGGCGTGGTCTGCCAGCTCACAAACCTAATCAATTTTAGCCCATATGCCTGCCTACTTCACCCTGATGAGCATAATAATCGTGAGTAACCACTCATTTTAGTAAATCTGTATGTAGCAGCTATATACACACACACATGCATATATAACTATATTATACCATAATTTCTTATTTATCCTTCCTGGTAATTATCTATTGCTTCTCTTCCTGCTGAAACATAAATTGTTTACAAATCTTGCTTTTACAGAGCATGCTGAAATGAACATTGTTTCAACCCTGTTCTTGTGCCTATGTATTGGTTTCTCTGGTGTAACTGGCAGCATAACTGTTAGTTAATTGCTGTGCTCATGTTTGATGTTGCATATATTGCTCAATTGCTGTCCAGCATGGTGTCCTTGATGCCACTTGATTAGCGCCAAGACTTAAGATGGTGCTAACGTGATGGGTGTGTAGTGGTTTATATTTGCATAGCCTGTTTACTGATGAGGGTCATCATTTTTTCTTTGGTTTATTGTCTACAATTTTTCCCCCTTTTGTGACTTACCCATTCAAACTCTCTTCCCATTTTTCTTCCTATCTTTAGTTTGCAAAAATGCAAAGTTCCTCTAGCTGAAAGACATAACTCCTCCCTCACACTCACATTCCAGGCCATCTTCCCACCCTGCCTTAAGCAATTGCCAAGAACATTCTGTGTTACGAAAACAGAGCAACTCTACTTATTCACTCTTTTCCCAATGGATAGAACTTCTGTTTATATAACAGCCTATCATAGCATTCTTCTTCACTATGCTATGTGTGTATTAAGCTTTAATAATAAGCATTTTAGCTATTCCTTCAGACACCTAATGGTAACTGATTCCTTGCTATATGCGAGGCAATGCATTAGCCTCTCAGAATGCAGACAGACCTTGCCCTTTTTAAAGCACTCTGGAATGGAAATGACACACAAAGTAAATGTCTCTAGCATTTTTTATTAACAATTAATTTTTTCTGACTATGAACAGGAATATTTACCATGTAATTATTTGTCATAGCTAAAGAATTGGGACTGATGTTGTGACGCAGCAGGTCAGGAATTTATGAGTGTTGATTCCAGTCCCAGCTTCTCCACTTCTGATCCAGCTCCCTCCTACTGTGCCTGAGAAGGCAGCAGAAGATAGCCCAAGAGCCTGGGCCCCTTCCACCAATGTGGAGACCTGGATGGAATCTCACACTCCTTGCTGTGGCCTGGCCCAGCCCTGGTTATTGCAGCCAGGAGATGGACGATCTCTCTCTTTCCCCTGTCTCTCTCTCTTTCCCTGTCTCTCTCTCTCTCTCTGTAACTCTGCCTTTAAAATAAATAAAAACAAAAAGAAATAGCTAAATAATTAAGATAATCTGTGTGTTGATCGATGGTTTAGCCTTATTTTAGAATATGTATATACTGACATGGAAGGGTGGCTATTTTGTATTCATGGAGTGAAAAAAGCAATTGCAGAGCAGGCTAAATCTATTTTTAAAATAAATAAAAATATGCAATTGTCGCTCCTCCGGCCGCGGATGAACGACACCGGACACTGTTGATCCCCCTTCAGTAGGGTTTTAGCAAGAGCAAGTAAAGAGAAGAAAAAAGGAGCGAACGAACGAACTGTGCCGTCTCTATCCCCCCTTTATAGTCCTCTCCCACCAATCCGTGCCCTGCTGGCGTTCCTGCAGTTATCACACCAATCAGGCCTCTGTCCACGCGCTGAGCGCACCGTTCTTTTCCAATCAGAGGTTGGATCAGCTCCTGCAACTTCTAGCAGTCATGTTCTGCAACTTTCAATTCCGCATTCTTGTACTTCCTCTCGGCGCCATGTTGTGGGAGACGGGCCCTGCCTCCCACATGCAATTCTCCTTTTTAGAATTTCTCAAATGATATTATTTGATTGCTATATAGAGGAGCAGCACTGTCTTTGCCCTCCTAGCTGTCCTGACCATGTCGCTAGGTAGAACACTGTGCTCAGAATATATTCTTTCATCATCATAATTTTTTAACCTAAAAGCAAAAACTTAACTTTTATTCTTTATGGCTATCCTTTAACAGTCCTGTGTCCTCTGCATACTTTGTCTTGTGGTGCCATGTCTATGTGTCTTTGTAGTAATGACTCTGCTTTTGCAAATCAGTTGGTTCCAGCTCTACAAGTTCTAGTGGACTGACTGGAAACTACATCCCTTCCTTTCTGAAAAAAGAAATTGGTTCTGCTATGCAGAGGGTACACCTGGCACCTATCCCAGACCCTGCCCCTGGTAAGTTCTGTTTCAGACAATTCATGAATTGATTCCACAAATAGTTAATCAGGAACTGCTGGGTGCCAGATGCTGTACAGACCTGGAATCTACCAATGAATGAGAAAGGCAGCACTTCCTGCTCCTGGGACACTTGCACTCTACAGTGGCTCTGCTCATAGGTGCTAAGGAGAGAAACCAACCAGGCAGGAAGCAAGGAGTGTAGGGTACAGATGGCAGTTTCTATGCTGTATGGGTTAAACTGTTCCAGATGCAGGATTCTTCGGTACACAGGTTTGAAACAGGACAAACCTGGCAAATTCGAGCAGTAGCAAGGGAGCCAGAGTGCAGGAGTGGTGTCAGTGAGAGGGGGCATGGCAAGCAGAGGCTAGTGATCTGAGGTCCTGCAGCAGGCCCTGGAAGCTACGTGGGAGCCACTGCAGAGTTCTGTGGAGGGTTGAGGTGCTGATGTCCATCTTCACTGGCTAACTCGTGCCACAGCTTTTCACTAGACAGGAGCAGGTGCTAGGTTGGACGCAAGGAAACCAGTCAGGAGATGGTTGTAGTTCTCCAGACAGAAAGTGATGCTAGCTTGGTAAGAGTTGAATTGACAAAAAGTTGCCAGATTCTAAGTGTATTTGAAAACTCGAGCCAGCAAGTTGGCAAATGATAATTGGGAGACAAGAAAGTGAGAGGGACCAGAAATGACACCAGTATTTTTGGCTTGACAACTGTAGCTCTAGGATTGTCCTTAATGGAGGGAGGGGGGATGGCGAATTGCTCCTTCTTAAATTTCTCATTTTGGGACACTTCTGACACCAGGATGTATTCATCTGCCCTTTGCTAGCCCGGGTCCCTGTCAGCTGCCTCTTTCTCTTTCATTGCAGGTTATTCTTCCCTGAAGGCTGTACGACCTCATCCTGGACGACCTTTCTTCCACACCCAGCCTAGAAGCACCCCTGGGTTGATACCACGGCCTCCAGCCGCCCAGCCAGTGCATGGCCGGACAGACTGGGCTTCCAAGTACGCATCTCGGCGATGACCATCTCAGCAGCGAAGCCCTTCATGGGGGAAAATGGGACACTTCCCCTTGGCCAATGCATGTTCCACCTGCCAGAGACACACAGCTGGTGTAAAAGCAAACCAACTCTTTATAGTTACCCTTCTGAACTGAGACATTTCAATATTCTTTTTTAAAGTTTTTTTAAATATTGATTTGGATGCAATACGCTTTTTTGTATAGAATTATTTTATTCTAAAACTGGGTCCCATTATTTTCTTAAACAGCAGCGTTTTGTATATATGGGTTATGTTTTAGCATTTTATACAGTCAACTTTGTAATGAACTTTTTAAAGATTAAGTGACTTTCCTTTGGGGTTCCAGATAATATTTTATACAGATTTTGACAAATGTAATAATATTGATGCAGTATTGCAACAGGGGTGCAGTTTATGTGATAAAGGGTTATTTACTCTGTGTGGAGATATTTGGAAAGTAGTTAAATTTTAAATGTGGCTCATTAGGTACTTCAGACTCTCCTGGATTGACATTAGAAAAGCATCCCTCTGCTTTTCTTAAGATATCGTTAATTTGAGTTTTTGATGCCACTGTGCAGTCTGGAAGGTACCACTATATAATCTACTTTGTTTTATTTTTATTTCCCAGATGAAAGAACTCTAAGTAAATGTTTTTTTGAAATTGGTGCATCACCCTTTAATATAGTTTCAGATACCCAGATGAAACCAAGCTTCATCATGCTATGCCTTCGTATTCGATTTTCTCCCATTTTTGAAATCGTATAAGTACCCATAAGAGGGATGCTTCCATGTCAAAAGATTCTCAACATAAAGTTTAACACAGTCCATTATGTCCCTGCTATGACACATGGCCAAAAGAAACACAAGTTTGAAAGCCACAGAAAAATTTTTATTATAATAACTGAGATAGAAATTTACACTTGGCTCAGTCCTCCAGGCCTGGCTAGAAGCAGCCAATGAATAATCTTCTGTCCCAACTGAATTCTCAGGACAATCTGGGGAAGGGAAGGTTTATGGCAGTCACAGTTACAAGGATGTTAGTGTCCATAGCGTGCCACATCTAACTCCTAACCCTTGTGTAGTTTCTTTCAAGAATGAGAACTCTATTGGGCAGAGGCTATTCATTGAGAGCAATGTTTACAGTGATTTTTGAAAATGACAAAGCTAGTTTGGAGACAGAAAAACAGGAAAGGTCCACTCTAGTCCATCTCTGTATGGCTTATGTGCCTCCACTCATGGTTACCTTACAGGCAAGAGGAATGGTCACCACCAGTGATCGTGACATGGTCTCAGCAGTATATCAACTCACAGTCTCCCAGGGTTCAAACTACTCTTTTGGGTCCAGGTTCTAGAATACAGCAAGTTCAACCACATGAAATGTACACTTTTTTTTCTTTTTTTTTATTTAGTAAATATAAATTTTCAAAGTACAGTTAATGGATTACAATGGCTCCCCCCCCCCATAATTTCCTTCCCACTCACATCCCTCCCATCTCACTTTTTAAAGATTAAAAATGTATAAATATAGGCACTTTCCTGTGGTTCAACCTAATAAGTTGGCAAATGATTGCTTTGGTGGGTTAAGAATACTTAGCAGCCTGAACAAATTACCATGGCTTCCAAAGGACTCTAACCTAAAATCAGGGAGTAATTTATACTTTGGAGAATCCTGCTCAGAAATATACTTGACCAAGCACTATGACCTTTTGGAGCATGAGAAAAGCACATAATGGATGTGGACTTGATTTGTAATTTTGTCCTGTCTACAAGCTGGCAGCAACTCTTCGGAATGTGTAAATATAAGCACAACTTGAAGCTGAATTCATTTCTGTATTCTGTTTTCAACTCGTTATCTAAAGCAACAGAAAATGTTTTCAGAGATGAGTCCTCTACTATGAGGTTAATATTTATTTTCTCTTTCTGTATTATATATAAAAAGTAAATTAATCTGCAACCTTGCTCAGCTTTCCAGAAAGCTGGTTTGAGATTGTATATACATACCCCTTAGAGAAGCAAGTGGGTTGTTAATACTCTTTGTACTCTAGTTTGTGTTAAGATCATTCCAATTTTTTAAATTGAAAAAATCTAGTTACCCAGTTATTGCACACAATAAAATTGATTTTGTAATCTTTTTGTAGAGCTCAACTTTAAAATACTACACTTTTTTTTTTACCCTTTTGTTTACTAACAACTTACCTTGAGAAGTCAAACACACGTTCATGTGAAAGTCACAAAGCTGATGTACAGTTGAGAAAACTAGGAGACTGTAAAAAATAAATCAATTCTAAAGGACTAGCAACATCCTATAAATTACTCTTTTTTTCCCACAAAATGAGTAAAGAGGACAAGTTGTATATACAACATATATACTGTGGAAGGAAATAGTGGCCATTTTTTGTTAAGTGCAAATAAAATGCTTATTTCACATACTTTTAGTTGCTTTATAATTAATAAAACATCATGCAAGACACCAACAGGAATGAAGAGTTTAACTGTACCTACCATGATTATACCTCATTACAGTGAGAAAGCTTTCTGGGATGTAAGGAGATGGTACAGAGCTGGCTCTCATTCTGTAGCCAAAGGTTCAGAAACTGGTGTGCTCGGGAGTACAGGTGTGCCTCCCTTAGAGCAAGCCCGGGAGGTGGGGTGAGGGCTGTATTTTTATTAAAGCTACTCTTGGCTTGATTGTTCATTTTACAGTACAAGTCTATCAGTTACCAAGACCTCACCCGTTTCATGCTTGAAAGATTTTAGTAGGAATAACATTAATTTACAAATAATGTCACATCTCTTGCATAAAGAACTATAGACATTTAATAAAGTGACACAATATGGTTTTCTAAAGTTACCAAAAGTTTAATACAATCAAGGCAATCCACGCCAAACAAAATAAGAATTGTTTCCTTTTTTTGACATAACTACAGGTACTTTGAGTTCATGGGCATCAGGTTTTTCTCATGAAGTAGCTTTTCCCTACCATTAAGCCATTTTTTTTTTTTTTTTGGTGCCATTTAGGACAGGAACAAAAAAGAACGCAGGCTGTCATCTCAGCTGAACATATGACCAAAAGCAATATGTTTTTAAGAAAATGTTTTACATACTAATTTTATATCATTTTAAGCATATTGTAGCAACCTGTTTGTTTAATATATGTGGTTAATTTTTAGAGTTATTTTTACAATTTGCAACCAAATGTACTGTACTTTTATGTATTTATTGTAAAGATTTTCTCATGGGAACCATTTAAAAAGACAAACTGGAGGTATTATCGGTATTATTGGTTTCTTATAGACATTATGCTAATGTGAATTGAAAATGACCTGAAAAACTCTTCTGATCTCAGATATCTCAGAACAGATAGCAGTTGAGTCACCAGATTTGAGTACAATGGAGTAACAATATTTTCATTTATAGAGCAAATATTCATAATAATGAGAAGATAGAACAGAAAACCACTTAAGACTTCAGAAATCAATGCTTTTTGAATAGTTTGTCTTAAGGTGTTTAAAAATGTTAACTCTATGTAAGGAAAATTCTCCTGCTCCAAATAAAATTACACTTTACCAAAAACTGATTTGAGTGTTCTACTTTTCTATGCTTTCATGTTCTTCCGCCAAAAGTTAACACTTTGTGTTTCCTAATTTTCGTATGCTAGTTAGTTCTTTTCAAACTTTGATCTTTTATAAATTCTCCTTAATGCATAGTGTATTGTCATTGGCATGAATCTGGAAATGTACACTTGGAGCGGTATTATGAGAAGTTACACTGCAATGTGGAGAGGTTTTCAAATGCAGTTTTTAGCAGGTTACAGGACTGGAGATACTTAAAAATAAAAAGGTTATAACAATTTCTTGTGGCTGATTTCATCTTCCTTAATACCTACCTTGTACGTTTTCCTTCAAAAGCAGCTCCTAGCTTCATGAACTACATGCAGGATGCCACAGGAAATTCATTTTCTAAATATAATATGACAGCCTGGCACTGTGGTGTAGCAGGAAAGCCGCTGCCTGTGAAACCGACACCATATGGGCGCTGGTTTGTGTCTCCACTGCTCCACTTCCTATCCAGCTCCCTGCTGATGCACCTGAGAAAACAGCAGAGGATGCCCAGGTGTCTGCAAGCTCCTGGTCATTGCCATCACCTGGTAGGGGTGAACCAGTGGATGGAAGATCTCTCTGTCTCTCCTCTCTGACTTTCAAATAAATACATCAATTCTTTTAATAAAAAGTTTAAAAATATATTATTACTTTGAAAAGATTTTGTAGCAAGATGATCTGTCAATCATACTTGCATTGGCAAATCCCTAAATGTGTCCCTCACCATCAGAACATGGCTAACCTTACTGTGTCACCTTGGATCTTTCTGGCTTTCTGTTAGCACATTCAGCCCTCCCTGCTCTAGCCGGATGGGCTTTTAGCAGGAAGCAGCCTTTATTCCTGCTGTCTCAGGTTCAGCAAATTCACATCCAAAAACTGAGCCAAGAATAAAGCCACAGCTTTACCTTATATACCTTTGCTAGTTTCCTGTTGTTTTTTGTTTTAGCTTTAGTTTCTTTGTCCCCATACACAACGTATATTCTGATTGGATGCTCCAGTGCTGCAGGGTTGCTCTAGGGTTTCACTTGGGTACATAGTTACTGATTAGACCACATCAGGCTTTGTTGTTGTTGTTCCTGGAAGACCCCTACCACACTGCCCCTCCAGGCTTCCTTCCTGATGTGAAAACACACTGTTAGAACAGGGTCCGATCCTGGGCATTTATAACCAAGACTGGATTTAATGTAAGTCAACTCTCTCTTGCTGGAGTATTTACATTTAATGTTCCTCTCAAACTGGTACTTAAAACACTTGGTTTTTGTTACAGCAACTTCACATGCTTTGGAGCTGGCGGGTGAAGGGTTAAGGTAACAGGAAGGCATTCCCAGGGCCTCTGAAAGTGTACCAGGTATATTGTCAGACTGTCCTGGACTGAGGTAACTCCAGGGGTCCGTGAGAATAGGATTTCAGGGGTTCCCAAGGAATGAAATGACTTTAGCGTACCCTCCTAGAATGGCAATGTTATTACAAAAAGACGTTCATTTCTCCATAAGCCTGTGTGATAGTAGTCTTAAGCTACCTTAGTTACTCTTTCAGGTGAATGCTACCCCTATTTAGAAAGGTTGGACATAAGAAATTGTCACTTTGAAAGGTTAAAAAATATAGCAAAATGTCAGAATTTGGTATGATTCAGCAAAGCAATTAGAAGTAAGGAAATGGAAGTAAGATGCTTGATCAGCAACACGGATATTACAATTAGAGTGAACTCCTGTACAAAAATGTGTTGGAAAAAAATGAATCCAGCATGATCACTGATGGCTTTCAGCAAAGTTGGAGAACACAGCTTCTAAGCGTGGTCATGTGTTGGGCTACAATTAGAAGGATGAGACTGGACATGTACTGTAAATCCTATTTGGAAGTGACTTTCCTGACTCCTGGGGTGCCCAGCTGTCCTGGCCTTGCTTCTCTTCTTACTCTACATACTTGCCCTGGGTGAGCTCATGCTTTGACTCCAAACAGATCCATCAGTCCTCTCTTCCATCAGTAGCTTATTCAAAGTGTCTAGTGCACGTATCCAGTTGGATGGTTCATGGGAATGAAAACAAATCAACTAATGTCCCCCTGCTGGGTCCACCCTGATGGTTCCTCCACCCTTTATGGAGTTGGAAACCAAAGTATGGTTCCTTGATTCATTTATTCAGCAAATGTTCTCTGAATGCTTACTCCATACTCAATATGATACACAAACAGGAAAAATCCACCTAATCTCATGAAATGTATGCTGGTAAATCTACAATTAAATGTAAAAATCATGTGAGGTGATAATACGCATCTTCAAACTCCTGATGCTACTACTTTTAATTCACACCGACACCTTACTGGAAGTAATCTGCTGAAAATAAAATCTAATGATGCCAGTTGATATTAAGAAACAGTTGTCAAAAGAAAGGCAGACTGCCACGTGCAGCGCCTCATTTGGATGTGTCTGGAGTCTTGGAAGCTTGACTACCCTACGTTCTCCTACAAATGGACCTTGAGAGCTTGTTTGGAGGTTCTAGCAGGGGAGCGCAGCTACTCGTATACCCTTGACCGAAGACCGGTCCTCCTCTAGCGGGGATGGTCGTCCTCTTCGACCGAGCGCGCAGCTTCGGGAGGGACGCACATGGAGCGGTGAGGGAGGAAGGGGACACCCGCCTAGCCAGCCAGATCAGCCGAATCAACCCTGGCGATCAATGGGGTGACAGATGTCGCAGCCAGATCGCCCTCACATCCGAAAGACTAGGGCCGGACGCGCGCTATTTAAACCTCAGGATCCTTTGCACTTTTACACATAGGTTGAGTTACTTATTATGGCGACTTTCTAGCATGGAATTTTAACTGAAGTAAAATCTATTCAATGAATTAAAGGCCACTGTGTCCCTCAATATGCGAAAATTGAAGCGAAAGTGGCTAAATTGGGATTGTTTTCATATTATCCAGAATGCCTTGCAGATAGGTGGGGCATGCTAAATATTGCCGTCTCTATTGGTGAAATCCTCCCGGAGCCTCGCCCACCTCCGGGGCCTCCGGCAGCCCTCTGGTCGCGCCGGGCTGCAGACAGCTCGCCGAGCGCTTTGTGCAGCTCCGGCGCTCCGAGTGGACTCCAGGTCTGTCTCCCACCCACCCCTTCCCCTCTTCTCTTTTCTCCTCCCCCCTACTCAGCGAGCCTCCTACGCTCCCAGCCCCTCTCCTCCGCCCTGCTCGATCCGCTTGTTCCCCTTCTTGTCCTTTGCACCCCCGCCTCCATCAGGACCGACGTGGGTCCCCGGTCTGGGGTTGGGGCAGTGCGCGTGTTTTTTATGAATCTCTGCGGAGTCTGAATCCACTGCTGGAAGGAATGCTCGGATGGCCCCCGAGCCTGGTCAGGTGGTCCCTCTGGCCCTGCGTGGACCGTCGAGCACGCAGAGCTGCCCACGAGCGTAGACTTAGATGTCCAAGCGCTAGCCTGGCAGCGAAGCTCGGGACGGGCAGCTCGGCTCTCCTCTGGGCCTGGGCAGGTGAAGGAGCTCTGGCCGCCGCGGGGAGCCGGCTTGGGAAGCACCCTTGGGAGACAATAGTAAGGCTCTTGCCTGTCCGCCGAGCGGTTGCTGCTATAGTGACGTAGGCCGATGCATGTGCAAACGTGGAAGGTCCCACGGATGTGCAGATCCCGCGCGACTTGCCCCTCCAAGCCGAATTTGGAAAATTTGAGATTCTCAAGGTCAAAGTGCGTTGTAAACGTTGTGCGGTTATCAGTGAAATACCAAACTCCTGGCGCAAATGTCTTCCCAACAAATGGTCCCAGCTTCCCAAGGTCCCGGATAAGAAATCATAAATAAAAATGAGATGAAAGCCAGGGCTATTTTTTCCCCTCTTTTCTTCATGTATTAAAATGGTGGTTTGTTTTTATTGAGTGAAGGAAGGCGCAGCAATGAAAAAAAAAATCCCACCAAAACAAACAAACAAACAAAAAACCCGGTGCCCAAATGCTAAATATTCATGGTGCCCTTGAGGCGGAAATTCAGACTGTTGGTGTGCGAGGGGCTGCTGCATTTATTTTTCAGAAAGCCTGGAAAGCCATCATGACAGAGAGGCCCAAGCTCCACTACCCGAACGCAAGAGGCCGCATGGAATCCGTCAGATGGGTCCTGGCGGCCGCCGGAGTCGAGGTACCGGTACCAACACCGATGCGCAGTGTCTTGGAGATCTCTGAGGGGAAATGAGTTTCAGAGCCGCGTTGAGCCCTTGCCTGTTGCAGCGAAGTCACAAGTGTGCTTCATTGAGACCCAGGCTTCTTCCTCCCCTCCAAGGGCCTTTTCTTTATAAGTGCAAAGTAGTTCTGTTTTCCTTTTGCCTTTCACTGAATCGCTGGCTTCTGCTCCACAGCCACGGAATTAACCTGAAATTCGCCAGTTTCTTCCAGAACTTTCACTCATTTTACCATCTCTGGGTACATTTCCTGTGTACTTGAACGTCTTCAAGTCAGGCAGCTGTGGTGGCTTGCCTGCGTTTTTGTGGGTTCACCCCTGCAGTGTTTTTTATTTTGTCTTTGTTGTGTTCTTTTAGAAGTTCTCAAATGCAAACGAAGGTCACCATCACGTCTAGCACCCATCCCCCAGCCTGGCAGCCAGCTATATGCTTGTGCTCTGGTTTCAGCTTTCCCCTGCTCCGCTCCTTTCCTTGAGCATTTTCAAGGAAAGTCCAAACATGCTGTTGTTTTCTCTGGGAGGATTGCGCTTCAATATTTCTCTCTACCACATGAGGACTGTAAAATCTCACAACACTGTTATCATGCCCAGCAAAATGAACAGTTCCGTAGGGTCTTCTCACATTTCCAAGTCCTGCTGTCTCCAGATAGGTTTCAGTCCTGATCTAAACAAGGCCATCCCATGGCATTTGACTATGTGTCCTTCAGGAACTCAAAAATCTGTAACGGGTTCCTCTGCATTTTTAATAATTAAACTTTATATTGAGAATACTTTTAAATCAGAGTCCCCAGATAACCCTCACTCAGTCTCTA